TATGTCTGTTTAATAACTTCTTTGGCAAAATTAAACACCAGAAACCCCTTTTTGAAGTCTTCTGGCTCATGAAATCTGAGGGTCCAAGCACCCTGTATAGCCTCCCTGTTAGATAAGGTGATATTTATTAAATGAATGAAATAAGTGTACATCTTGTTGACTAAGGACAGATGAAGGAAAGGGGAAAGGAGTAAGAATCAATGAAACAAAAATATATCCATGGAGTACTTTGAAAAGAATTTATCAGAGGGGGGAAGAAAAAATCTGCAACAAAATGATAAGCAAATAGTTTATAGTTTTAAGTTCATGACAATTAATAGAAAATCAGTGTGCTCAATAAATAAGTGGACAAAGATCATAAACCAGACTAGTAGCAGCACGGAAATAATGTAGTAATCCAGCATATAGCTCTTTCAGTTCTCCCACCCATCTTACGTACCTAACTTTGCTGAATGCTGTTTCATGCATTTTTTCCTTAACAAATATCAATATCCTAATATTGTCTCTATATATTCCTTATTTATCTTATTTATTCACTCCCCAAATCTCATGTAAATTTCACAAGGGCTGGGACATCTACTGGTTTTTTTTGCTGCAGTGTCTAGAACAGGGCTGGCACATAATAGCTGCTCAACAAATGCATACCAAGCTTCTACTATGTTGGTTCACAGCTGACCTGGGGAATGTCCAAGACACCCTTGTACTTCCATTACTTCCATTTGTGTCAAGGATCCCTGATGAAAACTGGACAAGATATTTATGAAATGCACAGCTGGCCCAAAATTTGGAAGCAAGAAAATAAAAATGAAAAAAAAAAAAACCAAAAAACAAAACCCAACATTCTAGATGTAAAACCGAACAAGTCTAAACATAAGAGAAGGAAAGAATAATAAAAATACTGGTAGAATTTCCTCTTGTTTTAGAATCTATCATGGGATTGAATGTGGATTAATTTGTTTATTAATCTAAACAAATTATAAATTACTAAAAAAAGGTTGTTTTCTGAGCTGGGATTCCATGAAGAAGAAGAGCCCTTGAGGAAGGGAGATGACTGCTAAAAGTTTGTGTTGGCATTTTAAATCTCCAGTTATGTGGAGATTTGGAGTCCTTTAATTAGTAGAATCATGTATAGGTTTCCTGGAGTTAAAAAGAATGTTAATAATAATAAAAAACTAAATAGCTACTATGGAACAGGCACTGTGTGGTACCCAGGGCTTTATTTTCCTGACTTTTCTGCCTGTTAGAAGTGCAGAATCAAATACAGAGATTTGCCCTTGGACACACCTTTGTTTCAAGAAGAAAATGGAAAAGGAAATTTTGGGCAACATTTAGAAATCAGTAGATTTTCACACACAGAGCCAGATTTCCCTCATCCTTAAGGGACATACATGGACACTGACCACAGTGGAAGCTGGTGCTGTGTGGCTTGGTCTCCCCTTTCACACCGTCTCCCCTGCTCCCTGCGGCCTCCTTCCTTGCAGGGCAATGTCCTGGGCAATCGACGAGCTCACGGTAGCAGATGGGCAGGAATTGGTCCTAGAATAAAAAAGACCACACACAAGCCATGTTATGTTCATTTCATTAAAGCCCTTTTATGTGCAGGAATATTCTAGAATTTAAAATGTCATAGTTGGGCTTTTGCAGTAAGGAAAATTAATAATAGTTGGATTAGGGAAATTAGGCTAAATCTGGGAGACGATTTGAAAGAGACCATGTTTCAAATACCCATCAATGAAGAAAAGAATCGTTCTGTGCAAAAGGAGCACGGGATGAACTAACTTCGCCCTCGCTCTTTGGAGGGTGAATGTGGAAGACTCGATATTGAGCTAGATTCAGCTTGGTAACTAGCATCTGAGCCCAGCGTCTCTTGGTAACCTCAAAGTCCTGCAGGCACGGTGAGGTGAGGGAGTATCACATCATGCAGATCCCAAGGCCAGTCCAGTCCCGGACACGAGACCCCTAGGTGCCCTCATCCCGTGGCATAGTCCTTGGCTTAAGGGAAACCCATTTGGAGAGAAGGATAATTTGGCAATAGATTTGTAACTTTGGGGGCAAGTTCTGGACTGGAGATGCTGGCTAAGGGCCTCCCTTGCTGGAACATAGTGTACCCCCCTTGAGGGCTGAGAATCTAAAAGAAAACACCCCTGCCTCCCCTTTTCCCCCCAAAGTTGAGCTTTAGAGGAGAAAGAACAGAAGGGGAGGAAAGTGGTAAGAAAAAAATTATAACAAGTTTGTCTATTTTTAAAATATTGCCCTGATAAATGTATCATGAGCTATCTTTAAAGTTAAATATTACTAGCAAAAAGCATGTCCTGAATTAGAAAGGCTCAATGCAAAGTTTGTACTTAGCATCAAGGCAGGTGGTACATGCCTGTAATCCCAGCTACTTTCGAGGCTGAGGCAGGAGGATCACAATTGAGGCCAGCCTCAGCAACTTAGTGAGACTCTATCTCAAAATAAAATAAAATGGCTAGGGTATAGCTCAGTGATAGAGCACTTGCCCAGCATGCACCATATTTGAGGCCCTGGGTTTGATCCCCAGTACCACCACCACCAAAAAAAGAAGAAAGAAGAAAGAATTGTTTTTGCACTTATTTTGAGCTTGTTCCCAACAGGCATGCAGAACAGGGAGGGCATTGGCTCACTGGATGATTGAGCTGAAGAACCTTTCAAGGATCTTTGGCGGGCGCATTTAGCTCTTGTGATGGGAACAACCATATCCTTGGTAGAAATTTCATAGCATATGACAGCTGCATGGCGCATCTGTTGGAGTCCAAAAAGTCAGTTTCACAGCATTTGTTGGGAAAGATTCAGCTTGGCACCAGGTCCGCGAAAAGGCCCTGGGAGTTTAAATTGAGTGCAAGTTGAACAGGCTGTGAGTTTAATGAAATGTTAGTCTCCATCCTTGGAATGAAAATATCTAGTCCCGTTACCAGCTGAGTGAGCTGTTCAAACCACACTAAAGTACTCCAGTAAACCCTCATCATGCTAACAAGGATGTCGAAAATTAGGGTTTGTTGCTAAGAAGATAGTCAAGAAGAACCTAGAAATCCTGACACAGGCAATGGCTGAGAGACCAGAGGTGATAGGTCTCCAGGTTAACCTGAAGAGGAGAAAACTAAGGATTTTCCATGGTCGTCCTCGGATACTCAAAGGCTTGACTGATACAGGACCTTGTCAAACGTTATCTGACAATTGTATCTGTTGAATAAATAAATGAATGGAAAGAAAGTAGGTGTGTGAGTGTGTGTGTGTGTGTGTGTGTGTGTTTTCTAGAGAAGAAAAGAACACGTGGTGAAAATCCAGGGAAAGAGATACATGTGAGACACTATAAAAGTGACTTGTAGCCCCAGTGGTACCAAGGGAAGGACAGGTCATTTTACCAGACTAGGACAGATTCCAGGGGAGGCGGCAGGAGCCTCTGTTTGATTTGTAAGAGTGCCTACATGCAGTGCTAAATCAGGGTCATGAGAATGAGATAAAATGGAGAGGCGCGAGGGCTTTGGAGTCAGACCTGGGAGCAAATTATACCTTTGCTTTTTAGCTGGGTGTCGTTAGGCAAGACAACTACCCTCTCTAAGTATTCGTTTTCTCATTTGTTAAGTGAAGATAATAAACCCACATTAAAATGTTACGGTGAGAATTATTGAGCTGATGAACGTGAAGCCCTAGAAACACAGTGGACTCTGGGTAGATGTCATTGACTTCCTGTGGATGAGATGGCCTTTAAAGCAGCAGAAGAAAGTTCTAGAAACTACTGAGAGGCAGCACTTAGGAAGTCCATTAGACTCACTGCATCGTCTTTGTTGGTTCCCTCAGGCCCTGCCCAGAGCAGCTGCTCACCACATGTGGGCCCATTTGTTGACTTTCTGGTCAGCACTCTAGATAAGTCCTGGCCCTGGGCACTCTAGAAACAGGCTTTTGTTGAGGCTGCGTGGCCCACGGAGGAAGGAAGTAGGTTTGACATCAGAGAGGGGCTCAAATCCCAGCTCTCCACCGGGCCACGTTCCTCTGCCTTCTGAGCCGCCTTTTTCTCCTCGGAAGCGATACCTGCTCCTGTGAGTGAGGGATGAATCCCGTGGGCATAGGTGTTGGGGATTTTTTTCTCAGGGGATCCTCTAAACAATCCAAGGAGGCAGATAACGTGCTGTTTACATTTGTAGAAGAAACAAGATTTGGAAGCTGAAGTGGCTTTCCCAAGGGAAGAGCAGCCCTGGTATCACCCACGTCCCTCAACCTCAAGGCCCAGCATCGTTCCCTTGTAAATCGTGACTGAAACATCTTGAGTGTCTACTGTATGTCAGGTGCTGGGTCATGTGTCATCTCATTGGCTGTTGAGGTCCCCCATGGAGATGTTAGTCATTCCCTGAGTCTCTTAGGAACATTTTCAGGATGAGCTTCCTAGACACCATAGAGTATGTCTTTCTTAATTGGACTGTGGTTCTCTTTAATGCTTGGCTTTGGGAGGGGCATTCAGGGCACAAGTGAGGACCGGAAAAGGTACCTGTCCGACAGTCTTATGGGCTCTCCAGCCTTGACCGCCACTGGAGCGACAGGTGCTGTGTATCTTGAACACAGAACATCACTAGTTGTTAGACAGTGGGGCCTGAGCCTGCAGCTGGCAGCCTTGAGTCTTCTGCAACCCGTAGACTTGCTGTGTGGAATTTCAGAGTGTTTTGAAGTCATAAAATCTTAAATCATGAATTTTTGCATAAGAACATATCATTTAAGATGTTTGGTTCCTCTTAAAGAATAGGACACTCTGGCGACCCAAGTTCACATTCTCCCAGGCAGCAACCCACCAGCACTGTGTCAGAGCTGCTTCCTTTAGGAGGAGCAAGAGTCCTCATGGTCCCCAGATGGTGCCTTTCATTCCTGCATTGAGAAGTTTAAACCCACCGGTGGTACCCGGCATCATTTATACTACTACTAGCAAAAACACCTGGAAGAATGTTCCTGATGGTTTTTCTTATTGATGCCTTTCCCCCCACTCTTCCTAGTCTGCGATTGCAATGGGAAGTCCAGGAAGTGCATCTTCGATCAGGAGCTTCACCGACAGACAGGCAACGGATTCCGCTGCCTCAACTGCAATGACAACACTGATGGCGTCCACTGTGAGAGGTGCAAGGAAGGGTTTTACCGCCACAGAGACAGAGATCGCTGTTTGCCCTGCAATTGTAACCCCAAAGGTAGGTGAAGGGTGGGGGGAGAAAGAGGGAGAGGGGGCATGAGAGGGAAGGAGGAAGGAGGGATTGATGAAGAGGAGGGAGGGAAAGAGGAAAAGAAAGCGGAGGGGAAAAGCAAGCAGGCCAAGAGGGAGGTGTGCAGCTTCCAGAGAACTGGGAATCCAGCAGACACTGGAGTTTGGAGCAATTTCAACCTGAAAGGAAATGTGTTTCTTTTGAGTTGGGGTTGGTGGAAACAGCTGGTGTCTTTGGACAATGTTGACTTGAATTCTAGTGCTGAGAGTCCCATGATTAACTTTTTCAGGTAGATGACAGTCTGTGAAGCTGTCAGGGACAAGGGAAGCTTGCTTGCTTGCAGCGAAGGTCCCTCATCTCCATAACCATCACTTTGCCCAGCTTCTTGAAAAATAGGAACCCAAAAGATGGGTTTCTGGTGCTTTGCCGCGTGCTAGCAATATGAAGTGGTAACCACAAGAGAGACGACAAGCAAATAGGAAGATTAGAATCTTTCATGGGGTGTTTATAAGAGAAAATAGAACAACCAACAGGAAGCTCCTAACAGGGAGGCGGGTTGATAGGAGAGCTAGTTGCTTTTCTTTTAAGTGACTGCCCCCCCCCCCCCAGTGCTCTAGTTGCAGAACTCTAGGTGGGTACACCCTGCTGTGCTTCTCCTGAGCAGACAGTAAAAACAAGTTAGTAAATATAAGCAAGGAGAGGCAGATAGTTCTGTGAATAAGTTAAGGTATTTTAGTTGTTGTTGTTGCCTTATTGTTCTATCCTCTTTCTTGTCATGGTTTAGTTCTTTTTGCTAGAAATTGTTTAAAAGCATGATAATCACTCATCCACTTAAAGGGGAGAGCTGTACTGCGTGGCTTACTTGCGGTGTCCCTTCTGGAAACCCAATTCAGAGCAGCAGTTGAAAGAATCTAAAAGTGGGCAGATGTCGGTGAAGTCAAATGAGTTGCTGGTTGAATGTGTCATATAGAAAATTGGGGAGACCCGTGATGATATAGCCCATACCCCAGGAGTCAGTCCCAAGTTCATGCAGTTTGCAATTCTCATGTGATTTGGGTCAGATTTGCTTAGCTTTGTGGTATAGAATCAGCATCCAGAATCTTTTGGAGTTAGCAGTTCTCCCTGTGAATCAAAGAACTTCATGAAGAAAACGTATTCTGCTTTAATGAGCATTTATTTAACCTCTGGGAGGAGCCCACAGCTACTTAGAGCATGCAGCTTCTCTGAGAGTCACTGGGGTTGGCTCAGTCCAGCAGGGGGGTCGGCAAGAGTGCGATTAGAGACTCAGCTGGCTGCCCTGGAAGGTCTGAGACAGGTTATAATTTCAGAGGAGACTGAACCTTGGCGAAGAGGAAGGGTGGGGAGGAGTTCACCATCTCCTCCTTCTCAGTGTGGAGTCCTCTGCTTGCCCAGGAGCAGGGAGCCTGGCTCTATCTTTTCCCGTGGAGGGCAAGCGCCCAGACCCTGTGTGAACCACCTGGCAGCAAGCGGTGGAGCCAGCAATGATGCTCTTACCTGATGTGTTGTGTGATTCTCTTATCTGTGTGCAGGTGCTGACCGGGCCAGGCCCTTTACTAGTGCCTTTCATCCAGTGCTAATCAATCATTACCAATGACATCCCAGAGGGGGCGGTGCTATTTTCCCCCATTTTACCAATGAGGAAAGGCTTGGAGAGGGAGAGGAAGAAGCCTGTACAGCTAAGGGGCAGAGCCAGGGCTCAAACCCACGTGTGCTCACATCAGAATCATAGCCTACAGGATACTGGTGGATTTTGGAGCCAGGCAGCCTGGATCCAGTTCAAATCTTGGCACTACTGCTACCTCTGGATCACCTGGGGCACATTCAGTAATCTCTCCCTGCTCCAGTATCCTCATCTGAGAAAAGTCATACATCATAGAATCTGGCAGAAAGAAAATGATGCTTGTTTGACAACAAATTGGAGTTGATTGTAGTTGGTATAATTAAGATGGAGGTCAAGGTCCCAATCTCCTGGAACGCTGGCCTTTTTAAAAAATTACATTCCAGCATGAAAGAAGCCTTGTAGAAGCCACATATTTGGTCTGAAACTGTCAGTTAACCTATTACTTATTATTAACATCTCCCAGTTGGCAGTGAATATTTTTAAATATTTTTCAACAGTGGGAAAACTGACCTAGAAAGTCAACCAGTGGCCTAAAGTCTCCTAGCAAGTGACAGCCAGACCTAATGTTTAACCTACCTCCTCGTCCTGGACACAGTTACCTATTGTTTCCTTCACACGAAAGAAAAAAATTTAGGAAATAAAAAAAAAAAAAGGGTGTTAAAAGGTGACATCCAGGGGAGACCGCAGGAGTCCAGGGAAAACATCATGGACGTTGTTTTCTAAGATCTGACTAATACTTGACTCTGTTCCTGAGCATTTTCATATACTGTATCTTTTGTTGGCTCCCATAACAGCCTGACAACCCTTATGATTTAACACGTCCTGCCTCCCCCGTTATAAAGACCGAAGCTTCAGGGTCTAACCAGCCCAAGTTGAGTGTTGGGTCAGTAGCAGAGACTGCTCCTGCCACCTACTACTCCTGCTCCACCTCAGCTGTGCCGCTCAGTAAACCGGAGGCACAAATATAATGCCCTGTGTGATTTCTCAGTCTCACAATCAGCTGGAGATCATTTCCCCTTTGAAGTCACAGCTGGCAAGGGAATTTGTTGTACACTCAGTTTCAAATGCAAAAGAAGCCGCTCATTCCATATGTGGCAAACAAAACCCACAGCTCCACTAATCCCCAAGGTGGTTGCAGATTTTGGATTTCACGTCAATTTCTCATATGCTCCAAAGTGAGGCTTTTTTTTTAGGTAATGGTGTTATGGGCTCAGCAACAGGAATGAGTGTCTTCAACTCATTACCACATATTGAAACTCTATGTGAATGTATATTTTTACCTCCCATGACACCTAAATTCTTGAGGTCTGTGTGGACATCATTGATATGGACTTATTCTCTTAGTTTTATTATCACTTATATATCTATGAATCTGATTGAGGGATTATTCATATCATAATATTTGAACTATTGTTTAAAACATGTCTTTAAATGTAAGTGTACACATGTATATGTATTTGCGGGGCGGGTGGGTGGGTACTGGAGATTGAACCCAGAGGCACTTAACTACTAAGTTACATCCCCAGCCATTTTTTATATTTTATTTTTAGAGACAAGGTCTCACTGAATTGCTTAGGGCCTTGCTAAATTGTTGAGGCTGGCTTTGAACTCACGATCCTTCTGCCTCAGCCTCCCAAGCTGCTGGAATTACAGTAGTGCATCATGGCACCTGCTTACATATGTATTTTCAAGTGTTCTCAAAAGGAAATAAACTCTTGGATTAAATTTTAAATAATAATAATTTTTAACACCTTCTCAAGTCCTCATGTGGACTCTATCTACATAAGCCCTGAAAGTGTGCATTGATTCAATTATTGCTTATGGAAACAGGAAGATCTTCTTAATTTGTTCTTTAAAGCCAATTGTTTATAATCCCTAAGACTAGCTTATAATCTAAGAGTTGGGGCCTATGTTTTTATTTTCGTGAGACACTTTGAAAACCCAGCGTTATTTTTCTGGAAATTTTGTGTCATGAAATAAGTTAGTCATGTTCACAGAAAGTTAACATGTCAACTTTGAAGGCTTGAAGGGGGCCTCCGGGGTAAATGACAGTATAATATAGGTAATAGACTAGTCTCTTACAGCATGATAAACTACATTTTTTTGAACACCTACTATATGTGCGACTCTGAATTAGGCACTTTATATATATTAGCTCACAGTTTCCCAACAGCCCTAGAAGGTATCTGTTGTCATCATCATTTAAAAGAAGTAGGGAAGCAACTTGCCCAAGGACACACAGCTAGTGAGAGCCAGAGCTGGCATTTCACTTGAGAGCTATTGGTCTTTAACACCTGGACTGTTTTCTGGTTCCCCAGCTTCCTCTAGCAGTACTCTCTAGACAGTGTCCCACAGAACACCGTGACCCTTAGGATAATAATAGGTATTGCCTTAGGATGTCCAATAATGTTCAGAAACATTGGCATTAAAAGTTAAACAGTGGGGGTGGGGGCAGCATGGGAGGAATGGAGGAATTTTGGATAGGGCAAAGGGGAGGGAGGAGAAGGGAGAGGGCATGGGGGTAGGAAAGGCAGTGGAATGAGATGGACATCATTACCCTAAATACATGTATGAAGACACTAACGGTGTGACTCTACTTTGTGTACAACCAGAGAAATGAAAAATTGTGCTGTATATGTGTACTGTGAATTGAAATGCATTCTGCTATCATGTATGACAAATTAGAGTAGATAAATATATTTTTTAAAAAAGTTAAACAAGGGCTAGGGTGCAGCTCAGGGGTAGAGTGCTTGTCCAGTGTGTGCAAGCCCTGGGTTCCAACCCCAGCACTGAAAGAAAAAACAAAAAATGTTGAGCAAGCTTTTTTGCCTACTGAATGTATGATTATGTTATCAATCTCTAAAAGATTTAGCTTACACCATTTCTTAAACCTTTGACCACAGAATACTTACTTTCCTGGACATAGTTAATACTTCTCAGAAGAATGCTTTGTAGAATACCATCTGGGACTATTTGGGCCAAACCCAAAGCCAAGTATGATATTTTCTACCCTATAAGGTTCTTCTTATTATTCTTATAATTTATAATTCACTTCTAAATAACTACTGCAGAGAGAATATTCTGAAGTTGAAAGTATAATTATCATTAATTTGAATGGAAAAAAAAATGTGTTTCTGGGGCTGAGGTTATGGCTCGGGTAGAGCGCTCGCCTCGCACGTGCGAGGCCCTGGGTTCGATCCTCAGCACCACATAAAAATAAATAAATAAAATAAAGGTATAAAAAATGTGTTTCTGGGTTCCCCAGACAACATGCATTTATGTTAAAACAACCGATCTCATTACAGAGAGACTTTTTAAAAAAATCTAATGTTACTAATGACAGCATAACTTAAAAGGAATTTTCCTTCCTAGCTTCCTTTGCTGACCGCTTATAGAGCTGTGAGTGTGGTGGTCTCCAAACCCAAACCCAGCAGCCTGTTGCCTTCAGCTCTGAGAACACTCATTCTCCTCTCTTGATTCCCAGACCTCCCATCCCTCGGTTCCTCTGCTTGGTTTGACTCTGTCCTGAGACTTTCTCCTCTCTGAACATCCTCACCCTTAATCAGTGGGGTTCCCATTCTGTTCACAGCTTTCCCCTCCTCTCTTTGGGCGCCCCCAGAGTGATCTCATGCTCACTGGGGCTTAGTCAGCCTGTGAGCTGAGAGCTCCTACACCTTCGTCGCCAGCCCCTTTCTGGTGCTGCAGATGAGCACTTCCTCCTGGATACGCCACTGGAAAGGCCAGCTTGAATGTCTGAAGCTCAACTCACTGCCTTCACTTTAGGATTCATCCCAAGGTCTTGCTGTCCTTTGGCCTTCTCAGCTGGGTAAATAGATCACAGTCCCGAGAGCTATGAACTGTGGGACCAGGGTGTCATCCAGATGGTCTCTTCTTCCTCAGCATCCATGACCCCACAGCTGCCCACACCTGTTCATTCTGCGTCCACTATGGCTCTTGCCACATCCCCCCACCCCCCGCTGTGGCTCTCCATCCAGGCCATCATGGTACAGGTGGATGCAGGCCGGTCTTGCCCTTTCCAAGCCATCAGCAGATTGCTCCAGAGGGTCTCAACGGCAGGACGGCTCTTGTCACTACCTGCCTGCACCTCTGAGAGCTCCTTATTCACCAAAAGTTAATCTGTCATCCAGCTGAAAACTTTTAATCCACTACTAGGTAGTATGAGCTAGCATAGAGAAGGTGTCTAACTCAATATCTCTCGTGTGTTCAAAAAATGTCGCTTACACTCTTATCACAGAGCGCTCCTTCAAGCCTTGCAAAGGTGGCATGGAGCTGTTCACAGACTCTCACTGTGAAGGTGACTAATTTCTTTTGTGTTTCACATGCCTCATAAAAGCCTTTATATAGGCACAGAGCCAATGCATTTATTGATTTGAATTCAATCTACTAGTGGGTTAAAAATTCACAGAAAGATAACTAACAAATTCACTAACAAACATGTAGCTACTAGCTGATATTCTCTGGTCTCTGTGGATTATGGCTACTACCCTAATGATCACAGTTATTTGAAATATATGGATTATTCTACGGTTCTGCCTGCTGCAGGGACATTATAAAAGTAGCTAGCCTTCTACCTCATCTTTTGGCTCTCGGTCAACTCCTGTCACAGAAGCCCCTCCCTCTTCTTTGACATACACACATTAACCCTGCAGATTTCCAGGTGCCTGCTTTGCGTGGGGCGCTGGGCTGCAACCTAAGCAGGGATGGTGAAAAGTAAAGCCAGGCCAAGGACTAGAGCAGGGGTGGTGGGGGGTGGGGGGGCAGGCAGTTTAGATACAGGAGTCGGAGAAGATTTCTCCAGGAAGTAACATCCAATCTCACCTGAGTGTTGCAAATGGGCCAACGAGGAGAAGTTTGGGGAAAGAGCATTCCAGAAGGAGCAGAAGGTGCAGCCATGCTGAGAAAGCAGTTCAGCGCCTTCCAGGAGTAGGAAGGGGAGCTGGGCGGCAGGAGCTTAGTGAGCCAGGGTAAGAGATGAGGGAAGGGAGGCAGGGTCTCAGGCCAGGGCGTGGGGTTTGCATTGGATTCTGCTACCAGTGGGGTCCAAGCCAGAGGACTTCAATAAAACACGATCTCAGTTACCTTTTGAAAAGAGCACGCGCTGGCTTCCATATGGAGACTGGAGCATGGAGAGGGGAGGATGGAGGGGAGGATGGAGGCTGGGGCGAGTGAGGTGGGGCCCAAGTGAGAGAAGATGGAGGCTTAGCCTGGGCGGGCACAAAGGCAGGTAGGCGGTGAGAGGTGGTGACATTCCACAGTGGTTCTTCTTCTTCTTTTTTTTTTTTTTCACCCCGAGAGCTTCTCATTTTTCATCAACACTCAATTTGAGAGGATGCATTTGCAACTAAGAGCATGTCCCTGAAAAACTGAGTGGGTGAGAGCCACACTCTAAGGCATTAACAGGCCTGCACAGGGCGGCGTTCCATGAGATGCGTTCAGCAAGGTGTGAGGGTGAGGGGCCCCTCTCCAGGCAGGTGGAGATATTTTTGATAAAGGGACCTTTTTGTGCTCTTAAAAAGCATACCAGGAGCTGGGGTTGTGGCTCAGCGGTAGAGCGCTCACTTAGCACATGCGAGGCCCTGGGTTCGATCCTCAGCACCACATTAAATAAATTAATTAATTAAATGAAGGGATTGTGTCCAACTACAACTAAAAAATAAATATTAAAAAAAAACATGCCAGCCAACAAATACACAAAAGAATGTTCAACATCTTTAGTAATCAGGGAAATGAAAATCAAAACTACGCTGAGATTTTTACTTCACTCCAGTTAGAATGACAATCATTAAGAACACAAAAAAATAATAAATGTTGATAAGGATGCAGGGGGAAAAAAAGAACACTTATACCCTGTTGGTAGGATTGTAAATTAGCGTAACCTCTGTGGAGATTTGTAGGGATTCCTCAAAAGACTAGGAATGGGCTCCTTGGCGTTTTTCCTAAAGAAATAAAATTAGCATTTACAGTGATGCACGCATCCGTATGTTTATAGCAGCACAATTCACAATAGCCCAGTTATGGAGCTAGCCTAGGTGTCCATCAACAGATGAAAATAGGTAAAGAAAATGTGGTATATATACATGGGATAGTTTTACTCAGCCATAAAGAAAACAAAACTACACCATTTGCAGGCAAATGGATGGTTCTGGAGAACATCGTGCTAAGTGAGATAGGTCCGGGGTCATATGTTTCTCTCATATGCAGAAGCTAGAGAGAAACAAGGAAAAAGAGACCCCATGAAAATAGAAGTGAGACCAATAGAACAGAGAAAGGGAATGTGGAGGAGAAGGGGAGGGGAAGGGGAGGTACAGGGGAATGAATGAGACCAATCCATGCCTCGTGCACATAAGAAATTTTAAGAGGCCGTGCCATACAAACACTGATTCCTGAAAGGTGGTTTTCGTCTGTTAGAGATAGGGGGGAATATCACTCGGTCTCTGCTATGAGCTCACTCCTAAGAGGCGGATGTGCTCAGTCACAGATTTTCTTTCTTGAGATCTCAATGACTTGATGGACTGCTTTAGAAAAGCCATAGGCTGATGCTCCCTAATGCCAAATCAGTGCAGATGTGTAAATAAAAATGACTTTATGAGCAATTTCATTTCTGTTCATGAAGATAACAGAACCATCAGCTGTCAAAACCATCTCTACTGGGTGGAAGAATGCTCAGATGATTTGAAATAATTGTTCGAGGCAGCAGGTGCTGGATATTACTAGGTGTCTTGAGCTCCCACAGGTGGACAGTTGCTTCCTAATGCCTTGTAAGTTAAATACTTTCTTTTCATCTTCCCTTTTCCCCCACCTGGTGGGTTGCAGGTTCTCTCAGTGCTCGATGTGACAATTCTGGACGATGCAGCTGTAAGCCAGGTGTGACAGGAGACAGATGTGACCGGTGTCTGCCAGGCTTCCACACGCTCACAGACGCTGGATGCATCCGAGACCAGAGACATCTGTGAGCATCCTCACCCCACCATTGCTGTCATTAATGGGAATAATGATAATGACATTCCACTGGTGATCACTTTCATTTAATGAGCATCTACAGTGTGCTAAACACTGTTTTGAGTACTTCATGTGGGTTATCTAATTTAATCCTCGCACCAACCCTAAGGGATTGGGGGTGTCATTATGTTCATTGTAAAGATCAGAAATTTAAACCATGAGAAGCTTAGTTGACCCACGTTACTGAGGAGGGTGGGCCTGCTATTCAAGCCCAGACTCTTGGCTCCTGAACCTGTTTTCTTCACCCTGACTGTTGCCTCCTGTGAAGAACCAGGACAGAGGGACAGAGTCCATCACATTCTAACCTGGGACCCAAGGAACTTGGCATAGAAAAACTTTTCTACCTAATCTCGGTTCCCCTTAGTTTGTAACATTCTCTGTCTTTCAAATTCATTTTTGGAAGAAGATAGAGAATAACACATTATAAACCCCAGCCACTCTGCAGAGATGCTGAGCTAGGGGAGTGGTAAAGCATTAGCTAGAAGGCTACTGACAGAGGAATTGCTACAACTGATGGGAAACCAAAATAAACCCACTTTGCCTGATTAAAGCCTCTAAACTTAAACTTCTCCACCTCCAAGCTCCTGTCCCCATGCTTCAACCCATAATATCCTTGAACTCTATCCTCCCGGAGGTGGGTTGAGACTTGCTCCCATCTCCCCTTGTCAAGCATGGCCACGTTGTGCAAAAGCTCTTTCTCTTTGGCAAAACTCATCGTTCAGTGATTTGCATACTGCATGGTGGGTGAAAAGGGCCAGGTTCGGTGACAATTTGGCAAGCCAGCCAGGAGCGTAGTCCAGATGGGCCTTTTGCCAGTGGCTCGCGGACCCCTACTGGTATTGAGAGCCTATGGATGAGTCCGAGGAACTATCTGGGCCATTGATCCCAGGGACCATCCTGGGACTTTCTCTGGCTTGGTGCTGCCAACTTTCAACCTTGACACATAATTTCACTTTTGCGATAGAGAAACCATTTCTGGATTGGGGAGATGTCTTATTTGGTGAGTGACTTAGATACGAGTTCCCGTTTCTCCTTCCTCCTCTGGTTTGGCCTTCATGTGGAGGGTCTTGTTTTGGGGAAATGTCTGCTATTAGGGAAATCTCTACTCTTAGAAGTTCTCTTGGTTTTGTTTGGATTCTGAGATCTGCTTCTGGCATAAATAACACAAGTATGGACTTTTGATCCGGTTTGTCTAAACTCTGAAGCACTGGGAATTGTTCATTCCGTTCCCACTCGCAGACCTTTGGGCTGCATTCTCCAAACTTAGGCGACTTTAAGCTACACTGTCATGGAAAGGAAAAAGATGATACGATCCTGTAGTGCCACATGGCCACAGCGTACTCTTGACTCTGAAGAGAAATGGCCTGGAGATGGTCCTGGTTGGGTGACATCGTTGCCTGTGTTTTCAGCCCCTTGCCCAGATGGCACAGCCTCCTGTCTCAGCTGTGCTGTCCTAGTTATTGGTGTCACCCACTCTCTTACCTCTGGGCTTTTGCACAGATTGTCCCTTCTAACCCTTTCTGACCTCTTAGATCATCTTCAGAGACTCTCCCCGAGGCCCGGCCTCTCTCAGCAGCCCTTTTGAAACATGAAGGAGATCATATTGCTGCTTTGCTCAAAGCTCTCCCTGAGCTCCCCCTCCCCACTTCCAAAGGCCTGTGGGGCCTGCAGGACCCTCTGCCCTCTGCACCTGCTGCCCAGGCTCCACCCTCCTGGCCCCATGCTCCAGCCACAGCACCCTGCCTTCCCTTCTTCAAAGGAGCCACGAGCATGTGGCCCTGCACCCCTGGAGCACCCAAAGACATGCAGTGCCTTGTGGGGCTCCGTTCCACCTCATCATCCTGCAGGGCTCCCCCTCACTAGTCTGCATCCCTCACCCCTCAAATCTCTCATTTTCTGTCTGCATTGGCTTGTCCGTTCCTCCCCCTAAAATGTGAGTCCTGCTATGTGGCTTTGTCTTGTCCGTTGCTGGGTCCCCAGGGCCTTGAGGGGGAAGAGGCCCTAGAAGGTGTCCCAGGGTGGCTGCAGCTGCCCTTGTGCTATTTGCCATTGCTGTTCACACACCTGCCCTGCCGTGAGACTAAGAGACTGGGGCTGTTTCCTATTTCTCTTAGTGTCCTTGGTTCTTAGTGCACAGTAGGTGCTATTTGTCAGTAGTAATGGAGGGCCTAAGACAAGAAGGAGCCCATGGGAATCGAGAGGCAAAGCTTGGAAAGGAATCCTGGCCCTGAGCCTATCTGAACTAGAGTGGGGTGGGGTGGGGTGGGGGTGTGAGGGAGAGGGAGGAGTCAAGGACGCTCCAGCCTTGGGCAGAATTTGGATATAGTCACAGGCCATCAGAGGACAAGGAGATCAGTAGGGAAAAGACATGACCTTGGTTTGAGACCCATGAAATAGACACCTCATTGTTTGTCAAAATGAGTGACAGAGACCAGTCTAATCATGAGACAGGGAGATTATGCCAGAATCAAATGATTTTTTTTTTTTTTTGTACAGGAATTGAACCCAGAGGTTTAATATACATTTTCATTTTCCTTGGCTATGTACTTAGGAGTGGAACTGCTGGAGTTTGGTTGAATTTTGTTTTGTTTTAGTAGCAGGACTCTCAATGAAATGCTTTTGTTTGATTCTGATACTGGTTGATGTGATTCATACCTGTAATCCCAGTAACTCAGGAGGCTGAGGCAGGAGGATCCCAAGTTGAAGGGCCAGACTCAGCAATTTAGGGAAGCCCTGAGCAACTTAGTGAGTCCCTGTCTTAAAATTTTTAAAATTGAAAAAAAAAGGGGGGGGGGCTGGGATAAAGCTCAATGGTAAAGCACCCCTGGATTCAATCCCCAGTATCCAAAAAAAAAAAAAAAAAGTCAACCAAACTAAACTAAATAGTTTAGTAATGAACTTGGGTTGCATTCTGGCACAAGCCCCTCATTAAGAGTAGGCAACGAACAGTTCATGGACTGGCTGCCACCCACACACTGCCCTGTGAGCAGCACCGGCATAGACAGCTGTGTCCTTAGAGAGTGGAGAAGGATTAGCAGGAGTGGGGATCGCCAGGAGAAGCCTCACTGAAGCAGACTTTGCCCAGCTTGGCGACGCTTGCTCCTGAGTGGGGCCATCTTTGTGATTTCAGTGGTGAAGCATTTGGAAGCCCATCCCTAATTTCCTTTTTCTTCTTTCCCAGAGATTCCAAGTGTGACTGTGACCCAGCTGGCATCGCAGGGCCCTGTGACTCCGGCCGCTGTGTCTGCAAGCCAGCTGTCACTGGAGACCGCTGTGATAGGTTTGTGTGAACCATGTCCCTACAGACAGCAGGGGTGGTGCCTGGGCAACTGCCACGAGAGCTAATCCTTTGAGTGCAGTTATGGAGAAAGGATCCCAAACAAGTGCTGATGCCCTTCCTCCTGCTCTCTGTCCTCGAAAACTATTTTGTTTTGTTCTTTTTAAAATATAGTGGAGCCGTGCGCAGTGGCGCACACCTGTAATCCCAGCGTCTGGGGAGGCTGAGACAGGTGGATCACGAGTTCAAAGCCAGCCTCAGCAATGGCAAGGCACTTAGCAACTCAGTGAGACCCTGTCTCTAATAAAATCCAAAATTGGGCTGGATTGAATGTGGCTCAGTGGTTGAGTGCCCTGAGTTCAATCCCCAGTACCAAAAATAAATAAATAAATAAAATAAAGTGGAGCTTCCACAACTTTTCTACTCCACAATTGTGCTCTGGGCCCCTTCTCTGTTTTTACTGTGACAGAGGCAGGGGCCTCAGAGAGTCCCCTTGCCAGCTGGCTCTGAATCCCAGGTGCGTGGCTACAAGGTGGTATGCAATAACGAGGTCACGTGACTCCCCCTGGTCTTGGGAAACGCCTGGCCTAATTAAGCATGTTGGGAAAATCCTTGTAAGAGGGAATCTCACAGCATATGGCCATATATAACCATCGTCAACTGAAAAGGAGCAGCCCCGGGGCTGGGGTGGTGGTTACATGCACACACATGAGCCGGGGCATGAGGTAAGAGCCCCTTGGGTCTGCACCATGTTGGGGCAGGTGGAACAGCCAGGAGCCCTCCTCCCGCGGTTGTCACTGCAGGACATTCCTTAAGTACAAACCAGGCTCAGACTCACCTCTTCCTGTCCTGAGGTTAGGGGGGCGGTGAGGCTGGCCCCAGAGGTAAATGCTTCCTCCCCATTTCCTTAAAAAAGCAGTTCCTGGCACCCTGCCAATCCCTTCTACCTGGGCGGAGGAAATGCCAAATACATTCCTAGCTTGGGTTTTCAGGGGGTTCTTTGCTGCTAAGGAGAGGACAAGGAGAAATAGCTGAAGTGTTAAGAGAAGCCACGCCGCAAGAGCCTTTTTCATTTCAGAATCCAACACAGAATTAGAAAGTTACATTAAAAAGTGCCATCACCAATCAGTAGACCTCTGCTAAAGATATGCCATCCCAATGCCACCAGGAGTCCCTAAAAATGACTGCTATACTGGCTTTTATGGTAATCATTTTCCTTGCTTTTCTTTGTAATTTAGTATGCGTTATTCATAAGTTGGTATGCATTATTCGTAACTGAATTCATTCATAATTCTGATGTGTTCCTAAAAACCACCATTTAGTTTTGCCTGATTTTTTCCCATTCTTTATCCTTCCTCTCCACTCCACTCCATCCCTCCATTTGGTCCTTCCTTTCTTGTTTTTTATAATGTACAGATTTTCCCCTCATAGAAACCACAATGATTTTTTTTAATACATTATTTTTAGTTGTAGGTGGACACAAAACCTTTATTTTATTTATTTATTTTATGTGGTGCTGAGGATCGAACCCAGTGCCTCACACGTGCTAGGCAAGTGCTCTACCACTGAGCCACACCCCAGCCCCCACAGTGATTTTGTTAAACCCTTGCTCTCAGAGAAAACATGCTTGCTTTACAACTGTTCTCTGAAGCATCTCAGAGAACATATGTAAAGCAAGCATGTTTTCTGTCCTGTTCTCAGCTAACTGTTTTTCTGGGATGTGACACATGAACATACCCCTGATACATGATGGTCCAGTGGCTTTGACTATGTGATTTGGAGGTAGATGGACATGAAGCTTGCCTCAACCACTTATCAGCAATATGACCTCAGATGAGTTTCTTAACATCTCTGGTCTCCTCATCTAAGAAATTGGAGAAAAACAATGTCTATCTCCTAGGGCTTTAGGGAGGATTAAATGAGAATATACACAAGGTGGCTGGTACAACAAAAGTGCTAAGTAAATGATCATTAAAACTATCATTGTTTCATGTGGAAGGAGGCAGCTAACTTCAATAGAGAAGCAGGGCCTCCCCAGCTTTCCTGTTGCCTTCCCTGCAGCTCCCACAGCTAAGACTTGGCCTGTAGTTGTCCTTGGGGAAGCCACTGGAGGGCTTGGGCAGGGGCAGAGGTGGACGGCCAGCCTGCACTTTGCTGTAGCAGATGGGCTCTGGCCATCCTTCTTCCTTGTCAGGTCCTCACCTGCCCTTTCCCTGGTGGGCCAGAGCCTGGGTATGAGGGGCAGGGATGGTGACCGACACCTAGTGCTCTTGTGGATCAGGACGGGGAGCTGATGCTGAGGCAGGAGCCTTGCCCTCCTGGTCTTCACTTTGTCCCATTAAACACTTGCTTCAGGACAGGGCTGCTCTGTGTCCCTGCTCCATCCCTCCCTGTCCTCCCCATCTGACCTCCATCCATCACTAAAGATGGGTCAGTTGCTATTTCCAGAACATCAAGGCAAACTTGATTCTGCCGCACCTAGGAAGAGACAGAACATTCCTAATGCTCTTTTTTTTGGGGGGGGGGGGTTGTTCATCAGATGGTCTGGGTGGAGGTGGTACACGAAACTTGCCATTTTCCTTCTCTGACAATTAAAAGGGCCAAGAGGGGAAGAAAGTAGAGAGAGGCTGAATCAACCAGCATGTTCTCTACATGGAATAAGAAATAACCACTGGGGTCGGTGGCACATGCTTGTAATCCCAGCAGCCCTGGAGGCCAAGGCAGGAGGATCACGAGTTCAAAGCCAGCTTCAGCAAAAGCAAGGCTCTAAGCAACTCAGTGAGACCCTGTCTCTAAATAAAATACAGAATAGGGCTGAGGATGTGGCTCAGTGGTTGAGTGCCCCTGAGGTCAATCCCCTGTACCAAAGGGGGGGAAAAAAAGAAAAGAAATAACCTATTATATCACCCCAATTTCTAAAATCCAGGTGTCGCCCAGGTTACTATCATCTGGATGCGGGGAACCCTGAGGGCTGCACCCAGTGTTTTTGCTATGGACATTCAGCCAAGTGCCGCAGCTCTGTGGACTACAGTGTCCATAAGATCACCTCCACCTTCCATCAAGGTAAGGCGCCCCGTTCGCTGTTTCTGTTTTTGAAGGTTGTATAGGGATTTGTGCCTACAGACAAACACCTCTCTGTCCATTGAATGGAGTCTCAAATCATGTTTAACAACTGTTTCATAGTTTTAAGTGTTCACCATGTTTTCAGGGTGATAAAGCAAACCCCCACATCTTGAAAAAGTCACAGCTGAATGGCTCCCTCACACCAGCGTAGGCATGACTTAAAAAAATAACTTAGAAGAGACTCACTTTTTATCTTCCTGTGTTTCCCACCCACATCGATTTCAAAGTCACAAAAGAGTCATTCATTTGGATTGGGGGTTTATGAAGGTTCCCCTGGAAGCCACACTCACTGATCACACTCCTTTCCCACACATCACCTGAGCTAATGAATCCGAAATGAGTTACCAAGCTACAGAGCACTGTAAACACGCTGGGAATGGATATCACTTCAACTTGTTCACATTTCTCTTTGGATCTGATGGACCCTCTCACCTCACTAAGGCCAGACCGTGTTTACATAACTCTAATAAAGATACAAATTAAAGGCAGATGAAAACATGCTCTCTTATCTCAAGATCAGACTCAAGGAGCTAAACAGCTGTGGGGTGGGAGCCAGTGAAGCTGAGATCCAAGAGGAGAGGCGCATGGGGAATTTTGAACTCTAGGAAGGAACGAGGAAACACTAGGAAAAGCCCACTTTTTACCTCAACAGGACTTTTTGGCAAGCAATCTTGCCATGACTCATTGGAGGTGGAGGGTTTGTCTCCAGTGCAATGGTTTTTTATTTGTGTTCCAGATGCTGATGGCTGGAAGGCCATCCAAAGAAACGGGTCCCCTGCGAAGCTCCACTGGTCTCAGCGCCACAGGGATGTGTACAGCTCAGCCCGACGATCAGACCCCGTCTATTTTGTGGCTCCTGGTATGTGAGGGGGAATTCTTCCTACAGAAGCCAAGTGAGAGCACTAGGGAGTCAGGATAAAAAAATCGAGTTACAAAATGTGGAATACATATCGCTTGGTGTTCAGGGCAGTGGTGCCTCCAGGAGGCATCTGGGCTTAAGCCCAATTTAATGAAGTCACTAAGGCATGGCACTCTGGAGAAAACTGGGTGTCCTGGAGGGCAGACCTGGGGCCTACTTTAATCAAATGGGAGTTTCTAGGTTTCCCACCAAGGCAAGAAATCAAAAAGTGTGGTCAAATCTGTGGGTCTATTGAGAAACAGATGGAAAAGCAAAAACAAGGCATTTTTTAAAGCTCATATAATCAATATATGAATAGTGGATAATTAATTATAATAACTAACATAACTAATTATATATTCAAATCTATATATGTAATATATAAGCATTATATTCTATATAAATATATGTAAATATAAATTTATATGTGTAAAACATAAATATATATGTGTATGTATACATATATATACATACACACACACACACATACACATATATACAGACACATATATCAGTCAGTGGTCTGTGTCTGGGTAGAAGAATTCTGACTGGAATTCTAGTTCTGATCATATCCTTGGCCAAGAAGTGATTCCTGGGTGAGCTGTTCTTTTAACCTCTCTGAACTTAAGATCTCTTAACTATTAAATGGGAATGGAAATACCAGCCTTCCAGAACTATTGCATCAAATGTGATGATGTTCATGAAAGGCTTCTATAAACCACAAGGCATTATGTAGCCAATGGGACTCTTGCTGATTTACCCGGATCTTGTGTATCATAAGTACCAGGCTGTGGTCCCTCTAATAGATGAACCCTGTTTCATAGCCCAAATGGTATGATCATGTCCAGTGCTGGGCACTGACTTCCATCAGGGTGGCCTGGGGGTGTGGGATGGGTAACATGAGACTCCATGAGAGGTCACCCACATTGATGCAGACTTGGAAATGGGTTTACCTTCCCAGCTTCCCAACTGATCTTATTAAAAATTCTATTTCACAGCCAGATTTCTTGGGAATCAGCAGGTGAGCTATGGGCAAAGCCTGTCTTTTGACTACCGTGTGGACCGGGGAGGCCGACACCCGTCTGCCCATGATGTGATCCTGGAAGGTGCTGGTCTGCGGATCAGAGCTCCCTTGATGCCCCTCAGCAAGACGCTGCCTTGTGGAATCACCAAGACTTACGTGTTCAGGTGAAAAGAGAGATCTCAAGTGGGTGGAATAGAGCAAACTGTGATTGACGTCCAAGCCCTTTTTTCATCCATTCATTGTTCATTCGGTCAACAAGCTTTTCTGAGCACGTTTGGCTTAGCAGGCGGGTGTTGGATCAAGACAGGGCGTGATTCCTTCCCTCTAGCAGCTGGCGGGCTAATGGGAGAGAAAATAAACAGATGATAGCAAGGCAGACTGTCAAGTGGCGGAGAGAGACAGGGTGAGCACAGGTGCTTTGAACACACATGGAGGCACAACTGCCCCCCCCCTTAGAAGATCAAAGGGAGCTTCCCGAGAAGGCAGGACAGTGTGGAGAGCGGCTTCAAAGGAAAGAGAAGCTGGGGGTGGTTAATGAGGAAGAGGAAATACCTTGGGTTTAGTCAGCTTTTTTGCTGCTTCTACCAAAAGCCCTGGCAAGGACAATTTAGAGGAGAAAAACGTTTATTTGGGGCTCACAGTTTCAGAGTTCGCAGTCCATGGACAGCCAGCTCCATTCCCCAGGGCCCAAGATGAGGCAGGACATTATGGTGGAAGGGTGTGGTGGAGGAAAGTGGCTCAGGACATGGCACCAGGGAGCAGAAACAGAGAGCTCCCCCCCAACATGGACAAAATCCATACTCCAAGGGCATGCCCCCAACTCCCTACCTTCTCCAGTCCCATCCCACCTGCCTAGAGTAACCACCCAGGCAATCCCTGTCCCTGGATCAATGCCTCAGTTAGGTTGAGGCGCTCATAACCAAATCATTTCACCTCGAAACTTTCTGCCACTGTCTCACACAGGAGCTTTCGGGGGACCCCACAAATCTAAAACATAACACCATGCTTGAGGAAGGCTGCATATTTAGGAAATTCCTGGTGGATGAGAAGCATGAAGTGGGGGGCAGTGAGGAATGAGATCTGAGAATGAGGTTGTGTGGGGCCCTGGACGGTGCTGTCCGTGGAGACTGCGCTTATACAATGAGGATTTCCATTGGCATGTTCAGAGAGGTCAGGGAAGGCAGCTGTGCCTAGTAGGTGCTCAGTTCTGTGCTAGAGGCTGGAAAGTAAAGATGGAACATGGTCTTTGCCCTACAGGCTCCTGTTCTAGTAGGCTATGGAACACATCAAAATGCCAACATAGAGGGCTGGTGGTGTAGCTCAGTGGTAGAGTGCTTGCCTAACGTGCACTAGGTGCTGGGTTCCATTCCTGGCACCACAGGAATAAATAAATAAAAGCAAGCAAACAAACATAATAGATAATTGCTTTAGTGGTAGAACATGCTCATGGGGTCTTGGAAAGAGCCCAATTCTATCTAGAAGAGCTGAGAAAAGCTTTAAAGAAGAGACCGAGAATGAAAAGATGCCTGGGACTTTGCCAGCAAGAAACATTATCAGCACCCTCCATATGTGAAGTTATGTGGGGCTGTGAGAAGCTGTAATAATAGGGGGCAAGAGATACTTATGGCAGGGACACAGAGTGGTTTGGGGAGGTGGGCAGATGAGGTGGAAAAAGCTGGAAATGGACCCATCATGGTGGTCTTGCATATCAAAATGCTTAGAGTTGCCTGTGCTGGAAAGATGGTAGAAAGCCATTGAGAGAGTGTATGCTGAGAAATGTCAGGTGTGAGACAGGGAGCAGATGCCATGTGGAAGGCAGTTCAGGTAGGGTCCTTCACTGGGCCATCAGAAGACATCCACAGTGGCTTACCTGAGGATGGTTGCCCAGAGCAGAGATACTAGGAATGGAGAAAGGAAGACCCAGAGCACATACCCCACAAGGTGGGCACTTAAATTTCCGAGTGTTCCTTATTCTGACAGTACATACTCAATTTTCCTCCTTGGAATATCCACTCCACCCTTCATGGCTTGGTGAACTTTCTCTTTGAGATTCAGTTTATCTGTTGTTCCTAGGTATTGCCCTTCTCAGCATCCCAGGTGAAGTTACAGCTCCTAGAGTGTGTCCGTGGCCTTTTGTGCATGCATTTGTAATAATGCTCACCCCAGTGATTTATAACTGTTTGCCCACCAACTCCCCCCAGCTGAATGCTGGTCATCTCCCTGGTTGTCTTTTCCTGCAGCCACACAAGCCAAATGCACAGTCAACTTTTGTTAAACCAATCAGTGAATGAAACAAAAAGGGGTAGGGGTTGCTCTTGGAAGCATATTCTACTAACAAACAAAACCAAACTAAAAAGAATAGTCCAGGGACTAGTGACAGGATGCAGCAAGACACTCTGATGCCAAGTATTAGATGATGGACAAAGTAGAAGATGGAAACTTCCAGAAAGGAGTAAATAAAATGTGCTCAGATGACATGTCATTTAAATAAAACAAAACAAAGAATGAATGGTAGTGCTTGAGGGTCAGGACTTTTGGAACCCAAAGATGTTTCTAATTTAGGTTCTACATGGCCCAGAATACAGTGTGGTGTCTGAGGATTTGGGACCAACCTTGCTTCAGGCAGTATGACCCCTGGAGCTTGACTTTGCTTGCTGTCTGCCCTCCATCACTTCCTGCAGACTTGCCCTCCCCATGGAGGGAGAAAGCTCTAAGTTCCTGCGTAGGAAGAGATAAAGCTCATAGTCCTGCATCCCCTAAGCAGGACTACCAAGGGCCCTAGCTGTTGCCACATTCTTGGGCATCATTTGTATCAGGTAGTGATGTGATATAAGTTGGATTTTTACAGGTTTTTATTTTGAATTATGCAGATTAAATGAACATCCAAGCAGTAACTGGAGCCCCCAGCTGAGCTATTTTGAGTTTCGAAGGTTACTGCGGAACCTCACGGCCCTTCAGATCCGAGCTACGTATGGAGAATACAGTAAGGGCCTGGGAGAAATGAAACTCTTCTTGGGTGTTAGTGTAATTTGCTTCAGCTCTCTAAGAGGGTGGGCTGTCTCCAAACAAGTCGATAAACTGCTTGATGGTTTTCGCTCAGAGTCTGATTAAGTCTAAATTTTTACATTCTAGAAATTTCTCAAAGGGGAACATTCCTCTTTTAAAGAGGTCAGAACCAGTAAATGAATAATGATGACACCATCTCATTATAAGAGCCTCTGAATTTCCATGAAAGCTGATTGTTGAGGAAAATAAGCTACAACACCTGGGTGTATTTCTCCAGCTCAGAAATGGCTCTAGGGCACACCGGTTCACTCCTAGACTGGCCCTTCCTCTTGGGTCGTACTTACTGCTGCCATGTTTGGACATCCTCATATATCCTGCTAATTCTCTTTTTTGAACTTCACATGTTGGGGCCTCCTGGTTCCAGCTGGAATTATATAAAAGAGCTCTCTGTAAAAAGGAAACACGGCTGGCCTGCCCCATTTCCATGTCACTAATGCAGCTAATAAGGCAGGAAGAGGAGAAGGTGTTTGCTAGCAATGTGCTGAACTGCTATTATGTGCATTACAACGTACACTGTCATTTAATTTCAACACAAATTTAGAAGATAGATAGCACCGTTCTCTTGCGCAGTTGAGGATATGCAGCTGTGGAGAGGTTAGCGATTTGCCAGTTAATACAGCTTGTGAGGGTGGAGACAGAATTTAAACCATGATTTTTCCAGCTCCAGAGCCTGTGTGCTCAGTCCCAATTCTGTGTGACACCACCTGTCAGGAGTGGAGAAAAATAAAATCTAGAGAGGCCTGATTTCAGATATTCTTTCTTCCCTCCCTCCCTCCCTTCCTTCCTTCCTTCCTTCCTTCCTTCCTTCCTTCCTTCCTTCCTTCCTTCCTTCTCTCTCTCTCTCTCTTTCGTTTTTAGTACCAGGGATTGAACCCAGTGGCACTTAACCACTGAGCCACATCCTCTGCCCTTTTACAAAATATTTTATTTAGAGACAGGGTCTTGCTGAGTTGCTTAGGGCCTCACTAAATTGCTGAGGCTGACTTTGAACCCACAATCCTCCTGCCTCAGCTTCCCGAGCTGTTGGGATTATAGGCGTGCACCATCATACCTGGCTTGATTTCAAATCTTTTAGCCTTACCACTTGCTACTTCTAGCCTCTCCTCTCTATTTCAGGTACTGGGTACATTGACAACGTGACCCTGGTTTCAGCCCGCCCTGTCTCTGGAGCCCCAGCACCCTGGGTTGAACATTGTATATGTCCTGTTGGGTACAAGGGACAGTTCTGCCAGGATTGTGCTTCTGGCTACAAAAGAGATTCAGCGAGACTGGGGCCTTTTGGCACCTGTGTTCCATGTAACTGCCAAGGGGGAGGGGCCTGTGATCCAGACACTGGTGAGTGAAATGACACCTGGACCAGGTGACTGGGGGTGCAGCCAGGTGACCACAGTCTCCTGTGAAATTTAAGAGTGGAGTGAGGAATACTATGCCTGAACTCATTTCAGAGATGGGGAAGGATTAGGGAGAGCCAGGCTGGAGTCGGGGAGGATGGACAGGGTGCCTTATTACACTCAGTCCTTTTCATTAAGGAAATGCCACAAGGTTGTAAGAAAGGTGCTAGGTTACAGGAAACTGCTGTCTGTCCTGGTTCAGTGCAGTGGGGGATTGGGTATCAAGTTCCAAGAATTGTGTGGGGAGATCAAAGGCAAGTGGGGGTCTCAATGAATGGGGCAATCAATGGTGTCAGGCCACAGAGGACAAGGGACAGTGCCAAGTTGTGGATAGTGGAGGCAGGGTACATTGCTTAGTATAGAAGAGTGAAGCTGAAATTCAAGGTCTGGTAGAGGGCAGGGGTGAATGCCAGTGCCCAGGTACTGTAAAACCTTTAGAAAGGAAGGCTGTGGGCTTGCACACGACCCCTGCTCCTCTGAAGGAAATGCATTATCTGACCCTGCTCATTTCTCTGCCCCTCCATTCTTCTTCTGCCTCCCAGGAGATTGTTATTCAGGGGACGAAAATCCTGACATCGAGTGTGCCGACTGCCCCCTTGGATTTTACAATGATCCCCATGACCCCCGAAGCTGCAAGCCATGCCCCTGTCACAATGGATTCAGCTGCTCAGTGATGCCCGAGACAGAGGAGGTGGTCTGCAACAACTGTCCGCTCGGAGTCACTGGTAAGACCACAGGCCTGCTCTGCAGCCAGCTTCTTCCTGTCCTGATGCTGTGAATCCATGTCAAGAGAATCTACTCCTAGGAATTTTCTAGAAAATTTTAATGACTTTGGGTTAATCTAAATGTGCTTATTCTAAAGATCAGACTATCTCGATACCAAGAGGGGAGGTGGATTGGGCAAGGACAGAGAGCTCAGTTACAGGAGGAAACATGGACTCCTGTTTTGGGAGGTTTGGAGTTAGAAGATGCTGACCAAATGCATAGTTTGAAATGTTTTTTAATGACCCAAAGTAAAGAAGGAAGTCTTAGGGACTGGGGTTGTAGCTCCATGGCAGAACGTTTGCCTAGCACATGTGAGGCACTGGGTTCGATCCTTAGCACCACATTAAAAAATAATAATAATAATATAAAATAAAGGCATGATGTCATCTACAACTACAAAACATTTTTTTAAAAAAGGAAATCTTAGTCACCTCTTCAGTGTCACATCCCTGTGCTGGTCAGTTTGAAAGAAAACCCAGCAGCAGCCTTAGTGATTTCTCTAGAATCTCACCACTCCTACGTTGCTACTGGCTTTCCCCAAAACAACTAGTTAGGCCTCCTAGCGATGTTGCTGTGTTCCACAGTCTGTGGTGACTGTGGACGGGGTGGTGCCAACCCTGTCATGCACCTGCTCCTGACCCGTACTGTTCTGGGGTCACGGAAGAAGCACGTTTCCCTGGCTCTCTGGGGGTGCCTTGCACTTTAGGCCTCTCTGTCTGGTCTTGCTGCCAACAGATGACGGTCTGGCCTTGGCCATTTGTTCCTTTGTTCTTTCCCAGGCGCTCGCTGTGAACTCTGTGCTGATGGCTACTTTGGGGACCCCTTTGGGGAGCGGGGCCCGGTGAGGCCTTGTCAGCTCTGTCAGTGCAACAACAACATCGACCCCAGTGCCTCTGGGAACTGTGACCGGCTGACGGGCAGGTGTCTGAAGTGCATCCACAACACAGCCGGAGTCAACTGCGACCAGTGCAAAGCTGGCTACTTCGGGGACCCTTTGGCTCCCAACCCAGCAGACAAGTGTCGAGGTAGGACTGCGCTCCCCTACCCCGGCCCCCACACACACATTGCGTCTGTGTGTACGTGTGTGTACGAGCTTGCCCTGTTTACTAGGGAATGTCATGATGCAACTTTGGTTTTCTGATCAAACCGTCCCATAAACAGCCCACCTTTCTCCCTCAGAGGTTAGTCTTAAGACTGCTTCTCCCCGCCCCGCCCCGACTCCCAGGAATCTGGAAGGCAGAGCCAGAGGCTCTCAAATGGTTAAAGCTGGGTGGGAGATGTAAAAAAGGTCAGGTTTACATTCCTAAGTGGAAGAGGAGATAAAATGGAACCAGGTCCCATGCCCAATCCCGAGGCGAGTAGGGGGAAGTGGCTGCCAGACCTCTTACTGGAGAGTAATGAATGACTTGAGACCAAGCCTGAGCAAACTGCAGCAGGGAGGGGAGGGGCTGCAGAGAAGTTTAAGAGACCCTCTCAGGAAGTCTGCATGCTTGGGTATGGAGGGCCACTGTTGAAAGTCCTCCAAGGGAGGCTCAGCTTCAAAGCAGTAGCCAGGACCAAGCATTCCTAAGGGCTGCTTCAGATCAAAGCACAGATCAGATGGGTCCTCAGCTCTCCTTTGTACAGGTTATATTTCAGAGGCAAGTTCAGATCTAGAGGGGCAGTCCTGCCCCAGACCCTCCTTAGTCCCAAAGGTCCCAGATACCTTGAGGAGCAGAACTCAAGAGCCTGTCTCCTGTAAGAGCCTTAGGCCACAGTCTCCACCTGGAAAGGCCGGAGCATCTCTCTGCAGACGGGGCCTTCTTACCCAGGAGCATGACAGGACTGACTTGTTCATGGGCCAGACCAGCCCTGACCCCAACTTAGAGTTGGCTATGATGTTCTGGAAAATATCCTGTGATAAGAAGATCCTAGATGACATTAGTGGTGCTGAATTCAAGTCCCTTTTGTGACATACCTAGTGCATTGTGCTGATCAGGCCAATTAATCCCTCTGAACCTCAGTGTCCTCATATGTTTGACTAACATTTAACTCAAAATGTTTGCAAAGATAAAATAAATTGGCATATGAGAAAGCACACCGTAAGCGCTGTATTTCTAGTTATTCAGTGTTATTAATGCTGACAATTTACAATTCCAAAGAAATTGGTTTTCATTCAACTATATATCATCAAGCACCAACCATGTATATAATGTGGGCCTAGATACTAAGGTTATAATGATGAACAAGTCAGTCCTGGGTCCCAAGGTCCTTGTATGGTGGTAAGGAAGTCACAAATGTGTGTGCAAATAATGGTAGTACACCCCCCAACCAGTGTTTTTTTTTTTAATTTTTAATGTTTTGATTAGTTATACGTAACAGTAGAATGCATTTATGTACTTTGATATATCATACATGGGTGGGGCATAATTTCTCATTTTTTCTGAGTGTACATGTTGTAGAATCACATTGGTCATGCAGTCACATATATACATACAGTAATAATGTCTGTTTCGTTCACTATCTTTCCTATCCCCACCTCCCTTCCCTCCCCTCCCTTCACTTCCCTGTATCTAATCTAAGGTAACTCTATTTTTCTCTAGTGCCCACCCACCACATTGTGACTTAGCATCCTCATATTAGAGAAAACATTTGGCCTTTGGATTTTTGGCATTGGCTTATTTCACTTAGCATGATATTCTCCAACGCCAACTACTTACTGGCAAATGCCATATTTCATTCTTCTTTAAAGCTGAGTTATTCCATTGGGGGGGAAATATATATATATCACATTTTCATTATCCATTCATCTATTGAAGTACACCTAGGTTGGACCCATGATTTTGCTATTGTGAATTGAGCTGCTATAAACATTGATGTGGCTGCATCACTGTAGTATGCTGATTTTAAGTCCTTTGGGTATAAACCAAGGATCAGTGTTTTGAGAGCACTGAAGATAGATAGAATCACTGGGATCATTAGAGCAATGTCTCACTTACTGTTCTATTTTTTACTCTTAAAACAGAACCTAGTATGTAGTAGGTACTTAATAAATTTGATCAAATGAATAACAGTACTACTTTCTTACTGCATTTCCTAGATCAATGGTGTAGATTTCCTACATCACTGGCTTTTTCTGAGCTCTCACTGCAGCAGTTTATTCAATCTCTCAGAGCTCCCATTCCTATCTGTAAAACAGAGAGAGATGTTTACATCTCGCACATAATAGGCCCAGAAGAAATGTTATTTACCTTAGGAGCAAAGCCAGTAAAATATCCAACAGGCTTACAGTTTAATGAGAGGAACCACTGTAATATCTTTTCATCCACACACACCAAACAAATTTGCAGGTGAGTCCTGAGGTCTACACACTTTGGGAATGTGCTTGAAGGCATAGCCAAGGACTGAATCTAACCCAAGACGGATGGCCAGGGCCACAAAAGACTCTTCCCCATTGGAGACTTGATCTTCTTCCATTCTATCTTGGCTACACCTTCAGTTGCTGGGATGAGTTTGAAAGCATGCTACATATGTCTGTCTCTGTCTTTAGCTTGCAACTGCAACCCCATGGGCTCGGAGCCTGTGGAGTGTCGAAGTGATGGCAGCTGTGTTTGCAAGCCAGGATTTGGTGGTCTCAACTGTGAGCACCAAGCATTAGCCAGCTGTCCAGCTTGCTACAATCAAGTGAAGATTCAGGTGTGCCTGCTGCTCCTAAACCGCCTTCCACCCCACAGAATCGAACCTTTATATCCCACTGACTGGTTATATCCTGGATCTAGGAGCTACCCCCTAGCCTCCTGAGGATGGGAAGTTGCTATCTTTGTTTTTGTTTTTGTGATTATTGTACTAGCCAGGCACTGTGTCACACACCTGTAATCCCAGTGACTCAGAAGATGGAGGCAGGAGGATCACGAGTTTGAGGCCAGCCTTAGCAATGTAGTGAGACCCTATCTCAAAATAAAAAAATTATAAGAGCTCAGGATGTAGCTCAGTGGTAGAGCACCCCAGGGTTCAATTCCTAGTACTGAAAATAATAAATCTTGTTGTACTAAAAAGATTCTGGATAATAATAATAATAATAATAATAATAATAATAATACAGGTTTACTTCTTATATATACTATTTTCAAGCCCCCTTCTATAGATATAGTCTTGTTTGATAATCATGATAACTTAGTTGAGTTGGAAGATATTCTGGCCTCAGTTTTCACTGGTCTAAGAAAGTCTTGAAATACTTGCTGTTTTTCAAAGTGATAGAGCCAGATGGAACTGGGAATACCACTCTATCTTCCAGATTCTGAGTTCAGTTCTTGCCATTATAATATGCCACTCTCCATCTAGACATTTTTCCAATAGAAACCCTAAAACAAATGCAGAAAAACATAAAGCTCAGTGGTAGAGCGCTTGCCTAGTATGTGTAAGGCACTGGGTTCAATCCTCAGCACCACATTAGAAAACAACAACAACAACAAAAACCTAAATAAACAAAATAAATGTATTGTGCCCATATACAACTAAAAAATATTAAAAACAAAAGCATAAGCATATAAAAGATAAGTGAAGTCCAGGAGGGGATGAAGTTTTTGCAAACAGGAGTGGCTTCCAGAAATTCCCCCATCCAAGTTCCAAAGAAGAATGGACTTGAGATTTTTGTTGTTGTTATTAATTTTTTTTTTCTGGAGTGAGGGGTTGGGGAATAAAATTCCCAAACAGAACTTCAAATGTAGAACACACTCAACCTGTTTTTAAATGTTGTCTATTGAACAAGCTTTCATAGAACTTTCTTCAAGCTGTGCTGTAAGCACTTGACAAATATTAACTCGTGTAGTGCAAGTCATGATTCTATGAGGCAGTATCATTATGTTTATTGTCCCCATTGAGTAGATAGGGAAAGTGACTTGTCCCAAGCCACACAGCTAGAGTACTCCAGTCTCTAAAGTCTAAACTGAACCACCAGAACATAGCAAGCGTCTCTGGGTGGTTAGCTGCTGTCTCCTGGGTACCTGGTGCTGGGTGTGGTCTCCATCCTCCATTCTGAGCCTCTTTCCCGTGTGGTTTCAGATGGATCAGTTTATGCAGCAGCTCCAGAGCCTGGAGGCCCTGATTTCCAAGGCTCAGGGTGGCGGTGGCGCCGCAGTACCTGGCTCAGAACTGGAAGGCAGGATGCAGCAGGCGGAGCAGGCTTTACGGGACATTCTGAGAGAAGCGCAGATCTCAGAAGGTGAGAAAGGCTGACTGACTTCCCTTTAGCCAGAAGAGGACTGATGTCTAGAAAGAATTGCTAGACGCACGTCATAGACTCTTCCTTGGACACTGGTTCAGCAGGTGTGTCCACCAGCCCTTGCCCAGGTAGAAGGGCTGTCAGTGACACTCCTCTGAGACCTGCATGATGGATCTTCAAGAGCAGTTTGCGTGCGCGTTTCTATTGGGTATTTATCATGTCACAACGAGCCAGTCAACCCTCCATCATTTTAGATAGCTCTGTGCCAACCTGAATAGCGCTGATCTTCCCTCTTCTCTGGGTTCAGGTGTTAGTAGGACCCTTAGACGCCAGCTGGACAAGGTGAGGAGCCAAGAGAACAGCTACCGCAATCGCCTGGATGACCTCAAGACCGCAGCGGAAAGGATTCGGGCCCTGAGCAGTCAGTATCAGAACCGAGTCCAGGATACCCGCAGGCTCGTCACCCAGATGCGCCTGAGCCTGGCAGAAAGTGAAGCTTCCCTGAAAAACAGCGTAGGTTTGGCTGGGTTGGGGTACTCAGAACCACTGCTCGGGGGACCCTCCAATAGCTCCCCCTGCTCACTTTCTCTCCCTCTGGGCTTTTGGTCCACCTGGCAGGTAGTGGGACCTCTCTTCCTTGCAACAGTCACACCTATTCTTTGTGTCTTTGGCTTCCTAAATTTCCTGTTTGACTGCATCAGATTCTCTTTATTTATTTTAGCTCTGCTCATGTTTGCCTTCTTAGCCCACAGCGTGGTATGTGGTAGCTGCAAATGTCAGCTGCATGAATGAATGAATGAATGAATGAATGAGGAGGGAGAGAGTGAAGGAGGAAGGAAGTCCGGCAGGAAGAAAGGAAGTGGCCCAATAAAGACAGTTCTGCAGATGGAAGAAAAATATTGTCACAACAATTCTCCTAATGATGTAATTTGCAGTGTGGCAGGAGGGAGGGATTCGATTGAACACTCTTCTGTTTTTGAATAAAGAAGGCTATGGTGACAATAATATAAGCAGATGGGTAGAAGATGAATAAAGGAAACAAGAAATAGAAATATGATGAAGAAATCACATGTAAAAATAATTTATTCCAAGGTTACAAAAAAAATTTTTTTGTACAAAATACAGAAAAGAAATAAAAATCCCCTATGATCCTATTACTGCTAAAGAGCTGCTGTTATAACTTGATATATGCTACTGGACTTGATGTAGAGATAAGAATGTACATGCATATATTTTTAAATGCATCCTTATCTTTATAGATACTTTTTGGAACTTGGAGTTCTACTTTGTTCTTATCTACACATACTTTTTTTTTTTTAACTGCGTGCTCATGGTGGATTGAGACTCTCTCGGTGTGTCAGGGTGTGAATCTGTGGCCAATGACAAGTGGTTCTCACACTTCAGCTGCACCTGCTTAGGCTCCACAGTCAAATGCAAAGTCTTAACTAAGTCTCCTTTTTCCACAGAAAATTCCTCCCATAGACCACTATGTGGGGTCCAATGGCCTTAAAAGTCTGGCTCAGGAGGCCACAAGATTGGCAGACAGGTGAGCAGCAGTGGAGGCATCTATGCACCAGGTGGCTCCTTAAGGCTAAACTTGAACAAGACTGTGGGGTATTCACAACCCAAGCACCAAGTTTATTCCCTCCAGCCTCCTTTGCAGCCGTCTCCTGCCTTGAAGCCATGTTTCAACTGCTTGGCTTTTAGTATACGTAGGTGGACCCTGGATGGGGTCCTTGGCCAGAGTTGGGGGGTGGGAGTGTTTCTTTCCCAGACTTCTCTGTGACTCACAATATGGCTTTGGTGTCTGTCAGATGTGATTCCTCGGAGCCTGTGAAACTATTTAGCCTTTGGAAAAGGAAATTCTGCAGCTTTAAGGGACTCCTAGGGTCCCACACCAAGCCTGGGAGTGAGGAGCAAGGAGTTGTTTGCTATGTGTCTGCAAGTGTACAGAGGGGCCTTCCTCCTGGAAACCAGCTTGCAGGAGCTTGCTAACAGGCAGCTCCTCTGATGCTTGCCTTGACTTTAAATCCTATTGTGTTTTAGAGGTCTGCTCAGCGGAGGGGCTGACTGTGCTAATCTCAAGAAGAATTCAGTCAGCAGAAGGGGGCTGGCTTGGATTTTCATAGTTTGAGCTGCCTCCAGAGCCCTGGTGTTGTTTGTTTTGATTTTTTAATATCACTTTGTAAAATCTGGAAAACGGAGCTTACGGGGGACTTTTACTCACAAGCTTTGTTCTATCAGGCCTGGGCTCAAAGGAGTAGGGAGTTGGACCTGGACAAAATGAGATCTAGGGGTTTCTCCCTGCAGAAAACAGTTTACAGGGGCAATGTTCTGTCACCCTGAGACTGCTCCCACTCCTCCCCAGGGCCCACCTCCACTAAGCGTGTCATATACAGAAGAGACCACGGGGCCTGTGACAGGAGGCAAAATCTCCAGGACACATGCTTCTTGATAGTTCCTCTAATTCCATCGAATCTGGATTTAGTTCTTTTTGGTTTTTCTGAAAACCAAACCAGTCTCCTTACTCTTCTCCCTTTATCTACACAAAAGACAGAAAGGGAGCCCTTTTGCTATGAAAACTAATTCTTCCGTTTTTAATCCTTTCAGCCATGTCGAATCAGCCAGGAGCATGGAGCAACTAACAAGGGAAACAGAGAAATATTCCAAACAAGCGCTGTCATTGCCCCACCAGGGTCTGAGTGAAGGGGGCGGAAGTGGCGTCTCAGACAGCTCTGTGGTACAAGGACTTAGGGGAAGGCAAGTTTCAGTGGGTTCTCCCTCAGCCCATAAAACCTGGATCCTCTCAGTACAATGCACCAGGCTTCTTTTCAAATGTATGTTAATAAGAGGGACAATAGAATGAGCTGGTTACTTTGGGGAAAGCAAATATCTTCAAGGCTGGAAGAAGGTTGATTAACCTTAGTAAAATTTATGATTAGATTGAGAGAATGCAGTACTTGCAGAAATGACTACCCTCTACAGTGTATGAATGGTATGTGCAAACACCCGCTTGATGGTATAAGGAATATAAGAATAATGTATTTATATTACCAGGAATTAGGAAATTTGGCTTGAATTTTTCTACCCCGACCTCTATAAACTGTGAGGCTTGTGTTTAGATTGTGGCAGGGGTCACATATCTCACGCATAACCTTGTTTGGCTATTCTGAGTATTCTAATTATGTACTTTTAAAGTAACAGGGTCAATTTTGGCTTTTATAAAAGGAGGTGATTCTTACCACATTCCTGTAATCTCAGCTACTTAGAAGACTGAGGCAGGAGGATGGCAAGTTGAGGCCAGCCTGGGCAACTTAACAAAACTCTGTCTCAAAATAAAATTTTAAAAAAGGCTGGGGATTATAACTCTGTAGTAGAACATGCTCAAGACCCTGGGTTCAATTCCCAGTACTAGAAAAAAAAAATTAAGTTTTGAAAGTCCTTCTTTCCCCTCAACTCTCTTCTCATCCTCCCCACAGATTGGAGAAAACTAAGACCCTGGCCCAACAGTTATCAAGGGAAGCCACCCAAACTGACATGGCAGCGGATAGGTCTTATCAACACAGTCTCAGCCTTCTGGATTCCGTGTCTGGGCTTCAGATAGTGGATGATCGGTCCTTTCAGGTGAGGGCATCTTGCCTGTGTGCTTGATTACGAAGGGCCAAAAATGCTTCCTTCACTAGGGATTCCATCATATTGTTCAACGCATTCAGCTTTTTCTCCATGTTCACAGTATTAGCCAGCGTTTCGTTACTACAATGAGATTCCTGAAGCAACTAACGTATTGAGAGAAAAGGTCTATTTGGCTCATGATTTTGGCATGGTACCTGCATTGGCTCAGTTCTGGAAAGAGTGGCAGATGGCACTAAGAGGGAGCTGTGTCAGAGCAAAAGTTCACCCCTGAGCCAGGAACAGAGAGAAGAAGACAGGCAGGATTGCACAATCCTTCTCGAGGGCGCACCCCAATGTCCTAAGGACCTCCCTCTCAGTCCTCCTTTCCAAAGGCTTCACGGCCTTCCAACAGCACCACTGGGGACCAAGGCCTCAACAGCCCCCACATAGTCAAACCACAGCATTTACCCTTCTTGCTTTAAAGTAGGAAGAGTGTGCATGATTCTTATTATCCATCTTCTTATTCTTAAACCCCAACTCTTACACCCTTGGACTTTTCATCCTGAGCCTTTTAGTGGGTAAAACCTTTATAGCTCTTCCCTAGTTCTGGGGACTGTTGGAATGTGTGGGGAAGAACTGTAAAGTTTGGTGCATCTCTCTGTACAGAGGACTTTTGTTAGCAAAAGTTTTTGCATCGTTTCTACCATTAATCCTCTTGACTGTTCCCAATTTATTCAGTGAAGAAGAATCCACTTTCTACCTGCAGCAAAAAGCACTCCCAGTGATTTCCATGGACACATGTTCCCATGAATATATAAGCTAAAATGATAAAATTGAATAAATAGAAAGGAACACACACGCAAAACCTGTTTGATGCTCGGGGGCCCTGCTGCCGCCTGATTTCCCTTGGGCACAGGGTCTCATTTCTATTCAGCTTTGAGCCTGGATGGTTAGGGATGGTTTTCTTGACTTCTGAAACCTGTTGTTATTTTCAAACACTGGTGCCAGGTCCTAACAAGGCTGGTGTGGTAATGGGCAAGATTCATTCACTTCTTTTGGCCCACAGGTGGAAGCGAAGAGAATCAGACAAAAAGCCGATTCTCTCTCTAGCCTGGTGACCAGGCATATGGATGAGTTCAAGCGTGTGCAGAGCAATCTGGAAAACTGGGAAAAAGAAACCCAGCAGCTCTTACAGAATGGAAAAAATGAGAGACAGGTATCCTTTTGTTAATTCGTCCGTTCAGTAAGCATGTATCAAATGCCTACCATGGGAAGAATATGGCAAGAAGACCCATTCAAAACTCTCTGAAGGTCACGGTGCCACGGCTCACAGAGGGAGGAAGTGAGACAGACCTTGATGTAATTAACTCCACCCACTGAGTCAGCACTCAACCCTTGGAATAGGACCCAAGCCTCCTGGGTCTAATTTTGTTCTGTCTATTAGCTTGACTTCAGGAAGCACCTAGAGTTTAAAATGATTTGCAAGACTATTTCCGTCCCTGTGGGTGGACTAGAAGTCTCCTTAGGTGGCACATGTGGTTGGCTTATAAAGTTTGTTCCATCCCAGATTGTAGAGGGGTTGCTCCAGTACCCCTAAACTGTGCAGTGAATCACAGCACTCTGTTGTCATGAAGAGAAATGTGTCAGGGTGACTTTGCCAGCAGGAATGTACTTTCTCTAATCTTGTTCTGTCTATTTACAGAAATCAGTTCAGCTGCTTTCCCGTGCCAACCTTGCTAAAAGCAGAGCCCAAGAAGCACTAAGTATGGGCAATGCCACTTTTTATGAAGTTGAGAACATCCTAAAGAACCTCAGAGGTTAGTGCTTCATGGTCCATGTCACTTGAGTATTTTAAAGGTAGTGTCATGGCTGATGGGTTTTGAGTCTTCATGTATCTCTTTAATGGTGAGTAGACTGGGATATTTTTAATAGATGCTTAATAAATATCTTACTAAAGAAAAAACTCACTAATATTCAAGGTAAGTAGTGGAAAGAATTGAACTAAATCTCAGAAGGCTTGAGTTCCCCTCTTTGCTGGGTCTGGTGACCTGGGTGAGCTCATTGTGTGACCATAGACAACTCACACACCCTTTCTACACCCGAACATAAATGATTGATATGATTCCTCACAGATCCAACATCTCATTGCTCTACAGATATTTTCCTTTTTTCTTTTCTTTCTTTCTTTTTCTTTTCTTTCTTCTTTTTTTTTTCTGTAGCTTGATTGGTTCCAATATGCAATCCCCATGGTTGCTCTGTGGAGAAGACAGAGCCCCCTTTGTCATGGAATCGAGACCTCAGGAGGTTTGGGGGATGCCTTGCCGATTTGGTTAAAATTTTAGGATCTTCAGTAACAAATAAAAGATGGGCATTCCTGAATTTTTCCAGTTTCCTTCATTGAAAGTCCCTCTGTACCCATTCTACCTAGCCCCTGATTCTGGTCATTGACAGTTTAGGACCTAAGGCTCTGGATGGAAGCTTTGGGCCTCAGAGATTCTGCCTGCTTATTTCCTGGGGCCTTGATTCTCTTGCATCTTGGGGACTTGTGACTAACTCTGGCCTCTGGGAAAAGACAGAGTAATCCTCGCCGCCGTCCCTCCCCCACCCCAGTCTGTAATGACACTCTTTCAGGCATTTCTCGTTGAACCAGCGGCCCCTCTCGCTCATATCCAGGTTGTTTTCATCTGCAGGGCAATTTCCTTCTTTATTTCAGAGTTTGACCTGCAGGTGGAAGACAGGAAAGCAGAAGCTGAAGAGGCACTGAGGAGACTCTCCTACATCAGCCAGAGAGTTGCAGATGCCAGTGACAAGACCCAGCAGGCCGAAGCAGCCCTGGGCAGCGCCTCAGCGGACGCCCGGAGTGCAGAGAAGACGGCCAGGGAGGCCCTGGAGATCTCCAGCGAGATAGAACAGGTAAAGAGAAGTTGGGGTGCAGGTTGGCCCAGGCAGCCCCGAACACGATATTGTGTGTGGAAGGGGAGAGAGCACTGGGCTCATTTTGACCCTGAGGGCTCCGAGCCTGTGGTGGTCCATCATCGAAGCCCCAGACCCACATGGCCATCCCTACTGTCAAATTGATTTGTGGGACTGTAATCAACTAAGAGTTAGAGATCCCATTTTCAGCCCCCTTTGGGACAGTTTTGAGAAGAACTACCCAAGATTGGTTGTTGTTGGTTTATAGGACTGAACCCAGAGCTGCTCTACCACTGAGCTTCATCCTCAGCCCTTTTTATTTATTTTGAGACAGGATCTCCCTAAATTGCCCAGGCTGGCTTCCAACTTGCGATCCTCCTGCCTCAGCCCTCCTGAGCAGCTAGGATTGCAGGCACCGTGCCTGGCTCAAGATTGTTTTTATGTAGACTGTTGTATTGGTTTTCCAGAGCACAAACTTTTTTGGCTTAAAACAACAGAGATTATTTTCTCACAGTTCTAGAAGCTAGAAATCCAAAGTTAATGTGCCAGCCTTGCCCGCCTTGCCGGCTCTCAGGGAGAATCTTTCCTTGCCTCTCCCTAGCCTCTTGTGGTAGTCATCAGTCCTTGATGTCCCTTGGTTCGCATCTCTGTCCCTTGAATCTCTGTGTGTGCCATCACATGGTGCTTCCCACCTCTGAGTCTCTGCCTGTTGTTATAAGAACATCTGTCACATGGGAATAAGGACCCACCATGCTCCAGAATGACCTCATTGTAGTTAATTACATCTGTAGCAATCCAGTGTCCCAGGAAGGCCACATTCTGAGGTACTGAGATTTAGGCCTTCAACATACCTGTTAGGGAATTAACTGCTCAACCTGTAACACCTATCATCAATGTTTTGATACCAGATGATGAGATTCAGGAGCTCTAGAGCTTTTATGCCAGTCCATATCCTATGTCTGAGGTCTACTCACTCATTTTTCTCTGGCCTCACTCTGCCTGGTGCTGGGGAGAAGACCCAGTGAGCCTCTTCAAGGAGCGCTCAGTGTAATGGGGCATATGAACAAGCTACACCAGCAACCCACGTGTTAAGTGCCACAATAGCAGAGATGCTCAGCTGGAAGAGGGCCTCTTAGCTCTTAAGCAAACATGACTGCTAGAAATTTTATGCTTCTAGAAAGCCCAGAGGGATCTCTAGAAGTATCTGGGCTATTTGACCTCACTTTGAGATCACTCAGTAACCTGCAAAAACAATTTCTAATGTTAAGCCCCTTGAGTGTATGACCAACTTCATGTACCTCTCTTCATACAGCTTAGAGCATAAGGACACCAGCAATTTGAAGCTTACTAATACTTTATTGAGGAAGTTATTGATACGCTTTGTCCTTTTAAAAACAAAAACTCCACACGGTACCCTATTCCTTCTCCCCACTGCAAACTCAGCTGCCTTGGGGGTCCTAGTAAAATCATTCAGAAGACCACAGCAGCACAGGAACATGACAGAGAGCCACGTGAGTTCCCTGTCCTTGGACTTTCTCAAATCGTTGCTAATTGTGTTCAGCGTTTGGTGAACATCACACTGAGAGGGAAGTAGTATCTCAGTGCTGACCCTCCCAGCCCGTAGAGACATACCCCAGATTCTGTTGTTTGAGGCAGAGCTTGGGGAAGGGTGTGTCCCCAGTTTGACTCTCTCATTGTTCATCCAACTTATCCATCAGACCCTGGCTGCAGCTGTATTTTTTCTACAATTGTCCTTGGGATGTTTTTGAACCTCACCCCCCTCTCTCTTCCGTCCCTGGCTCCTTTTCTTCTCCCAGGAGATAGGGAGTCTGAACTTGGAAGCCAACGTGACTGCAGATGGGGCTTTGGCCATGGAAAAGGGACTGGCCACTCTAAAGAGCGAGATGAGGGAGGTGGAAGCAGAGCTGGCCAGGAGGCAGCTGGAGTTTGACACAGACAGGGATGCGGTGCAGATGGTGAGCCATGGCTTCTTCCCCTGGGGGATCCCTTTAAAGTCACCAATATGGAAAATACCCATCCCAGACAAGTCTGTTCTTCTTTCTCCTCAGGTGATTACAGAAGCCCAGAGAGTTGATACCAGAGCCAAGAATGCAGGAGTTACAATCCAAGACACACTCAGCACCCTGGACGGCATCCTACACCTGATAGGTCTGTGGAGTCTCCACAACCTCCCTGGGAATGGGAATCGCCACTTTCCTTAAGGGTGTCTGGAAATTTGCTTTATTTTCAGGTCCAGATACTTTAAGCAGTCTGCTTTGTATTTCTGGACTCTGTTTTACTATCTCTAAAATGGGTCACTGAGTACCTATTGCACTTAGAGGTGGAGGTCTGTGGGTTGAAGAAGTGGTTGAATGTATTCTGGAAACTTTATGGGAAGATTGGACAGTTTGAGAGTCCTACTGCGGAGGCTGGCCTTCATCCTGAGAAGCCAGTGGACAGTTTTAAGCAAAAGAATAACATTGTTTTTGGGTAGGTGATGCAGGGGAGCATAAAGGGGGTTTGGACAGGAGGCCACTTAGGATTCTGTAAAAGTCTGAGGCAGCAGGAGTGGTGAGGGGAAGATGTAGAGGTGGATGCTCCCGGTCTGTGAAGTGAAGGACCGCGTGCTGATTCTGCTGTTCACCACTTCCAAACCAAAGGGATACTGTAGTGAAACCAGCCAGGGAAACCTGAGCTGTCTGGGTAGATGACGAGAAGAAATGCAAAGACAGTAGATCCACAAGATACTGCAACATTTTAGGATAAAATAGATCCAACGGTCCAGTGTGGCAAAGGATCAGGTTTCCCAACAGAATCAATCCCAGAAAAAAAAAAAAACGATTTTAATTAAAATTCTGGATTTAGGTAGAGTGGATATCAAATCCTCATTTGGCCTGTTTAATCAAGCATGGATTGCAGTGGCTTAAGAAAGTAGGGATTTGGCCACAGATTCTAGTGACACTCAGAAAAAGGCTTTAACTCTACTTTTCCAGTTCAGTAGAACAACTTTAAAACCTGGTTTTTCTGTGGAGGATCATCATCACCCTGAGAGTCCAATGTAGTCAATGTTGTTCTACTAATGGGTCTGCTTTGCCACCCAGTGAAGCCCCAAAGAGTGAAATGCTCTCCGTGGATCAAACACTCCCCGTTTTAGCAGCATTATTAGTCTCCTAAAAAGGGTAATGAAACTAATGGAGCCTTTAAAGAGAAAATGAGAGAGCGGGGAGGGACGGGTAGTGGGGAACATGAGACACTTGCTATGTGCCAGGTGCTACCCCGGTGTTTTTTCATGGTGTAAGACCATTTAAGTGTCATAAGAGTCCTAAGAGGTAGGTCTGATTATTTTTGTGATTGTGTTTCACAGAGAAATCAACTGAGGCTGCAGATCCCATGGTAAATTGTGTAGGCAGGATTCACACTGAGATTTCTTTGCCTCAAAAGTTCCTCTTCTAGTAGCTCACGGTACTATCCCATAGATCTTTTGTTTCTTCCCAAGCTTGCTTAGCTTTCTCTGCATGTCAGAGAACCCTAGATTCTTGAAATCTCCCCTGCCTCATGAAGGATAGATTCACTGGATCAATATTTTTGTTATGTTGTTGCTTCTACCCCCTGTGACCTCTTGAGTTCTGGAGCAATAACTGATTAATTGCTCTGTGTATAATATACTCAGGCACTGAAATACTACCACTTCAGCCCAGACGTGGGAGGCAACCTGACCCTGAGTTTAAGTTGACTAAGGGCCATTCAACCTAATTGAACTAAGCAGGACTGGCCGGGTTCCCTTCATGCTGACATTAGCTTTTATTTAATTTATGGGTAAAACATACCTGGACAAATGTGATTACATTTCACATTGGGAATAAACGGATACCTAGCCAGATTCCCACTGTTTCAGGCCAGAATAAAGTCTTACATCATTTTCTAACAGCTGGAATCTGTCCTCCAAATAGCAAAGCATACCTTGGCCTCTAGAAACCCTGAAGCTCAGCCAGTTTCTAAAGATCTTCCAATAGAAAGCAGGGAGACGGTTCCTAAGGGTGACTCCGAAAGCAGAATTTGGGGTTGATTCTAATCCTAGGGGTGAGCTGTGGCAGGCAGATATTGTGGATCATGTTTAGACCCTGTGACCTTCAGCCTTCATCTTTGAGAGCATGATCTTTCGAGCCTAATGTGAAAGGAAAACTCCAAACTTCATTTTGCAGAGCTACGGTACCAGAGTATTAAACAGCGTTATTGCGTTCTACCTAACAGATAACTACCTCAAACTTTTTCTAGATCATTTCTAATAAAAATAAGTCTTTAAAGTGCATAGCAGACTATTTGCTCTGGGCAGGTGGAAACAGGCATCTGTTAAGAGTGCAGAACGGCTCTCATGCCAGTGCCAAGAGATCTCATGCCAGGGGATCTGACCGCAGCTTTTCTCCTTCCCTCAAATAGACCAGCCTAATGCTGTGGATGAAGAGCGACTGATGTTATTGGAGGAGGAGCTTTTCCGTGCCAAGACCCGGATCAACAGCCAGCTGAGGCCCTTGATGTCAGAGCTGGAGGAGAGGGCGCGTCGACAGAAGGGCCACCTCCATTTGCTGGAGACAAGCATAGATGGAATTCTGGCTGACGTGAAGAACCTGGAAAACATTAGGGACAACCTGCCCCCAGGCTGCTATAATACCCAGGCTCTCGAGCAACAGTGAGACACCTCCGAGACTTCTCAACTGGGATTCCTGGGATACAGATCTGAGGGCTCAGGAGCTTCCTTGTGTGGGTGGGGTGGGATGGGGATATTGGAACATGTTTAATGGGTGTGCGCAGGTCAATTAAATTGGACCCCATCCCTGAGACTGTGGCCAAGCAGACATTTTGTGGCACCAGGATGTACTATTTGCTTCCTGTGCAATGAGGCAAATAACGCTGGGTTTGAGACTGATCAAGGCTCTCAGCACCCAAGAGTAGACTGGTTGGAAGGAAAAACTGCACAGGCAGATGTTTGCCTCAGAAGAGTCATAAACTGAGTCCTGGAATCCGGACAAGTGCCACTGGATTATAGTTATCTTGTCCTGCAAGTAATGCAACTAAAGGAAAAATTTTTGACTTGGCCCACGCATCAAATCCTTCCTAATGTGAGAGCAGAGAGTGAGATCCTATCACACTGTGACCAGGGAAGTACTGTTGCTTTGTGCTGTCCGCGTAAGCTTCTTGTTGACCAGAGTTCTTCCCACTTACCGCCCAGCACCTGAGCAGGACTCAACGTTCAGGCTGGAAGAAGTGAGCAGTGATGGATTGAGGACCTGCAAGGCTGGCCTGTTTGGAGCAATGGTGCCTGCTGGTGACCTGCCACCCTCATACCCTGGGCCTGGGAGTGATACTCTTTCTCTTAATGATGCCATGGCATCTTAGAGACTATGTTTTTATTAAAGCATCTCCTACCAACAAAGCAAACATTGGGAAGGTATTTACTTTTGGATCTCAAAGTGAGAGAAAAATGTCATTTGGGCATTGAAAGAGGTGAAATTATCTCGAAGTTTTATTAGTCCTAGTTCAATCCTACTTTTTAAACACTAGAAATTATATGCCTCTATGTGTTTTATTTCCTTTCTCTCTAACAGAGAATATCCCTACTTATTCTTGAGCTGGGTAGAATCCATCCTTCCATCCATCCTTCCAACGTATATTTATTGAGTCCCTACTGTGTGCAAGTGTGGGTGATTCAGTTCTGACATAGCCTCTGCCCCACAGAGCTGAACATCTAGTGAGGAAGACAAGTGTCTTAACTTTGTAAGTTAAACTTACGAACCTTGCTCATCACAAGTGGTATTTATTGCTGTCACCCCTTTGTTTTGCAACCTCCTACTCAACAGAACATGTGTTGCAAGACATTCCCACGGGGGCACTTGAGTTTGAATGAAACTGGAATGGCTCTGGGTTGTCCACACTGCTGCACATTCCAGCCGTCCCTCCACCCCTTTCCACAGCTGATGGCAGTGGACTGTTGAGTCATAACACCGGTGGGAACTGCCCAAGAATCCAGAAGCTTCCACCCCAACCCAGGAGACCTTCACGCTGCCTCGCTTCCATATTTCCTTGGTTGTTTGTGGACTGTTTTAAAATAAAGAATTATCATTAGATGCTTGAGGTCAGTTTCTAATTTTATTAAACTCTAAGCCTGAGATTGAAAGAACCAAAACAATGGAAATGAAAATACCACCGACATGTCTCTGGGTCCTAGAGTTATCATCTTTAAGTCCTATTTCCAAGTATCTTATTTGGCCCTTTGCAAGCACAAGAGCATGATGAAGCTTATGGATGCTCTATCCTAAGCATGGAGGTTTATTTCTAGAGCAATGCGTCTGGGTTGAGGGTGTCACTGATGTTCTTGCCATCTTTCATCCACTCTAAAATAAAAGGAACATTGTAGTTAGTGGTACACAGCTCATGTTCTTAATAAATTAAAATCCGACAAATTAAGATGTTAATTTGGCCATCTACCCACGTGAGTGAGGGAAGGATTCTGCTTCTGTTCACATTGACCCCCAAATTCTGATAAATCTGATCACTTTGCTCTGACTTTATAATCCTGACGTGGCCTGCTCAACCGTACATCCTACAAATTTCTTGTAACTAACTAAATCCCAGAAAATGTGTCTATATTAATTAGGGTAGATTAACTGCTCTGCCACAAAGAGCTAAAGAAATGCAATAGCTTAAACAGAATACACTATTTTTTTCTTTGTCCCGTGATAGACCAGGTAGGGAGCAGGCTGGCAGAGTGGGACTCCATATGGTCATTTCAGAGGAAATACCATGTGACTTCTGAGGTTGCCTTTGCATTGGGGAGGGGCAGAGTTGTTACCATTCTAGCTGGGCGGAAGAGAAAGAACACGGAGGAAAGGGGCACGTGGGAGGTTCTGTGGGCCAGGCATTTCTCAGGGTAATTCTACATGATGAAGGGGAGAGTACATTATTGATGGACTATCTGTCTCTGCCAAGTACCTAAGTTAGACTCCACATTCTAGGGATCCTGGTGAAGAATCCCCTTAGTTAATAGCCAGGGTGCAGGCCACCAGGAGAAGATTCCTGGATGCAATGAATTGTTCAGGAAGTCAAAAGAAGGTCTTTCCTGACAAATGGGACATGATCCCCTAGGAGAGACTGGGGAATGGACAAGTGACTCTTGGGACTCCCTCATCTCTGAGGACCTGACAAATGGACCCTAAGAAGAAGAAGAGGATGTAGCTTACAGGCAGCTTATCCAGGACCTGGCCACTGGTTGCCAGTCTTGGCCTGACCCTACCAAGTTAAGGGATTTCTTATCAGTATATAACCTGTAGCGAAACATTTCTCATATTTCTCCTCAGACAGCTTTCTGATTGACTGTGCTATTAGTAGCCATGGCTCAAAGTAGAGGAGAGGGGGTTAGAAATGAAACCGCCCATAGATTACAACTTGTTAGTGTATGTGTTTCTGATCTTATCCCAGGAAGTGGTTTCTTTCCAGCACTCGTGGGGAGGCTAGACAAAATGGTAAGAAGATGCTTAGCTCAGTTCAGTGTTTGGAACAAGTCTCAAGGGCCAGGAACATGTTTATCATATCCTAGTGTTTTGCATGGTCATAGGAATGTTATGGGTTCTTGCCGCACATGGAAAACAATGAATAGACTTTTCCTCTGCCTTCTTTGTAGCGTTGGCCACACAGAACTTCTTAGGAGATCCAAAGATCTGAAGCATACTTATGGACCGTAAGGAAAGAAATACATATGTATATGTGTGTTAATTCATACTTAGTGTAAACATTTTAAAATTAGTATAAGTTAGCAAATTAAACCAATATTTATACTCAATTTTAAACATGCTGTCATCATTACGCATTCTTAGGACAGGGAAAAAAAGCAGTGTTTATACAAAGTAGCAAATATAAACTCAAGTAATCAATTTACAAGGCATATCAAGTATCACTAAGATGTGCCACAAAACCCACATGGATCCACACAAAGCCAGCTAATCCCAATTTAAGAGGGGAAAAAGGAACCCTAAGAACCAAAATGATTAAAAAATTTTTTTTGACAAACAAGTTCCTGACTCTGAAGTGAGCTGGCCTAAGAGGGGACAGCCATTTCCCCTCTAAATCACGACTGATGATTGGCCAGTGCCAATCACCATTTAGACCAAAACCAATACAGGATGTACAGCTAAAGATGAAATAAGAATGAATAATTTCAACAGGGTTGAGCAATTAACAAATTATTCACTTTTATTTGCTTACATTGCCAAATTATAATAATTTCTGTCTTAGTTAAGATCTTTCAGGCCAAATTCATTTTAAATTTTCATAACATATTTTTAATTCATAAAGTACTGATTTCATTTAAGAACCAAATTTAAACAATCCTAGACCATGTGGGCTAATCAGGATCTAAGATTTCATTTTATTTTTTTAAACTAAGAAAACTTGGGCATGATTTACAAGTCTGCTAATTATTCTTCCTGTTATTATCCTTGGGTGTGGTTTTATATACTACTTCTCCTCCTCCTCCTCCCTTTTCTTTTTATCTTTTTTTGGTATTAGAGATGACTCAAGGGTGCTCTATCACTGAGCTCCATCCCCAGCCCTTTTTATTTTTAAAGCATCAGAACCTCTTCCTCTTCCTCCTCCTTCTTCTTAAGTTGTAGATGGACACACTGCCTTTATTTAATTTATTGATCTTTTTATGTGCTGCTGAGGATCTAACCCAGGGCTTCACCTGTGCTAGGCAAGCGCTCTACCACTGAGCCATAACCCCAGCCCCCCCAGTCCTTTTTATTTTGAAACAGAGTTTCAAACTTGCAATCCTCAAACTTGCAATCCTCCTGTCCCAGACTCCTGAGTCATGGGGATTACAGGCATTTGTGCCATGTGTAATATCAACTGAACCAGGCAGGAAATATCTTATTATAATTATTGTCTCCCATCAAATAAGATTATAAAGAAAAAGTGATTACTTCTCAGAGCAACACACAGGGGAAGGTTCTAGACCAAGACACAAGACTCTAGCAGTAGCATTGTCTTATTTATTAACATAATTGAAACATTTTGCTGATAAAACTCTTGTCCATGACTATTCTAGCAACAAAATTTTACTCAAAATATTTCACTGTGGAAATGGTATTGCAACTTGAATGTAATTTTTATTGATGATTTGATTTCCATAAAGCAAAATTTACCCTTAAAATGGCAGATAGATGACCAAAAAGTGATTCCAAAAAAAAAAGCTGCCTCCTCCCCATACCAATCCTCAAGACCACGAGGATCGTGCTGAGCTCTGGGCCTGCGACTAGATACAAAGTGGCGGGAAAGAGCTGTACCTCACTCCTTATCAGCTGGAGCAGACGAAACGGACACTCCAAACTCACGCAACAAAGAAACCACAGGAAGAGTTAGTTTACAGGGCAGCTACGGGAAAGTGCAGACTGGGTGAATTTGGCAGATGCATCATCACCACCGCGATGCTATTTCTAAGGTGTCCTAATTTTATGAACTACAAAATCAGTCCCTGTTTCCATCCTTCCCATCTCACCTTGTTCCCATCTTCTCCTGCCATAACCTTGGGAGAGATCCTGAGCTTTTCATACTTGACGGTTGTGTTTCTGCATTACTCTTTTGATAAATAAAACATACACGATAACATGCTTTTCTCTCTTAGTCCCCTAAAAATGTGTCT